TGTCTTTCCTCATACTTTCTATTATTATTTCTTGTAGTTTTTTCCCCATGCAAGTTTTATCTGCATCTTTTTCTGAGAGCAGCTGCTTTCTTTTGTTCCCTTTCTTCTAGCAGTTCTGCCTTTCTTTGTCTTTTCACTACATTTTTGGAAGTTATCAGCAGTTCTTGTAACCAATTAAATTTGAATTCAAAGCTGGTTATGCATTAAACCATTCCTCAGCAGACTGTGGCTCTTTTGGACAGTAGCTGTTGGGTATCTTGCTTACCTTGACCCTGAGACTGGCTCAGTTTGTTAGAGCATGGAGCTAAAAATGCCAAGGCTGTGGGTTTGATCCCTGTACAGGCCAAGAGTTGGACTTGATGATCCTTGTGGGTCCCTTCCAACCCCGAATATTCTGTGTTCTGTGAATTCCCAGGCAGTGCTGTAGGAGCTTACTTCCATATTTTTATAAGAACTTCCCAGAGAAACTTTGTATTCTCATGACTTTAGAAAAAGTCACAACCAAGATGGTCTGTGTTTTTAGCTTATTTCATACATTTTTTTCCAAGTTTACTGACTTGTCATTCAGCTTCAACCTGAAAGGTCAGCTTTGTTCCTGCTCTCTGTATTGGCTTGAGCACTCTTAGGTCACATCCACTGAAACACCTTACGTTTATATCCAACAAATTTGCATCCATTCCTTAAAAACCTGGAGCAAATGCTTAATTCAAGTGGGTTGCACCTTTAGTAACACATTTATCTACATAACTGCATAGACAGATTTCACTCACACCTCTTTTAAGATATGAAGCTTACAGATAGAATGACATCAACGGAAGTACACAAGAGGAAAGCACAAATATGGTTCTTGTTACCTTTCTTTGTCTTGTAGGGTCCTCCACTGGGGTGGACGTCCTGCAGTGGCACAGATACGACCTTGGCCAGGCCAGCATTCATCATGTACTGATACAGACGTTTGAAAGTCCTCTCACAAAGGCCCTGGTGCAAAGAGAAATGGCAAAAGTCACTGTAGCACAAAAAGCCTCAACTGCTGCTGATCAAAGCATCAAAGACATTCCTACTACCTGTTCTTAAAACACAGTGTTCTGGGGGAGGATATCCAAAAAGGAACTTAAAAGCCTGTTAGTGTAGACACTGGGCAGAACATGAGATGTTTCTGGAGGGTGTTGTATTCCTCCAACTCTGCCATCCAAACAAACAGCTTGTTTGTTTTCTTACTTGGACAAGTAAGAAATGCACGATGATATTCATTGACAAAACATTTCTGAAGCTGTGGATGGAACAGAACTCCTTCCCTATGACAAACACCAACAGTAACTTGATCTAGTAGGTTCTTAAGATCCTTCTTTTGATATCCTCCCCCAGAACTTTGTGCAATTTTAAAAAGCAGGCAGTAAGAATGAGTGCCTTTGATATTAATTATCTAGATTCTACTGAGTGAGAATTTGAAAGAGGAATGAATCTCACCAATTCTTCCCTCAAGTTTCCTAATGTTTCCATCTGGTTTGAACGAGCACTTAGCATACTTGCGACCTTCTCCATTAGAATATCATATTTGCTCCTCCTAACCAAGAAAAGAAAATTATTTTACATGTAAGTATGCACATAACTTCATAAAGATGAGTTGTAGCTTTACAAAATGCCAGTCACTAGAGAAAGTATGCTAAGTGTTCTCAGATTGGTTTAGGAATTAGTTTTCTTTCCTTCTGTGAACAGCACATGAGAGAATTTGTCACTGAGAAGAGATCTCAGCCAAGGGAACAGTGACTAAGCCCAAGCTGTTACTTCACTGGCAATGCACAGAAGCACAAGTTCTAATTATAAACAAGATAAGAAAACAAAACAAAATAAACTATTAGAAACGTGTTGGAAGTGAAAACACTCAAAATTAACAGAATAATCAGTGCTACAATAAGAAAAGTTAGGTTTATGTAGGCAGGTGACAGGCACTGGAATATTCTACTGAACTGTCTGGCATTCGGAAGAGGAGTTAAAGGAACTGAAGAGTCAACACCAGGAAACTTTGATGGTTCTGTGAAAACAGAGCAATCTCTCATCATTGTAAAAGGTCACAGTCTGCCCAGCAGACCTTTAAAAACATACCTGTCAGCATGAAAGCGAGTCAGAAGCAGAAGAATTGAGTGCTGCTGTGCTCCACTCGGCAGTCGTATGACGTGGGATTGCATTGTTATGAGACCATTTCTGTCCAGTACTCTCCGGTGATAATGAAGTTTTCCAGCATCCACTCTAAAAAAAAGATGGCAAGATATAGGCATAGAAACTTCTGCAAATAATTTTAATTATCCAGTACCCCAGAACACTTTACCTAAATTCCTATGGTCTTAGCAATATATGCTAATTTTCAAAGTGACAAACTCAAAATTAAGAAGTGTCAAAATTAAGAAAACCTGTGAAATTTATTTTCAGTTAATCCAATAAACAGAGAGAAATACCTCTGATTTTAACCCAGAGTCTAGGCACAGAGTGTCATGACATGGTCTGACGAGAGAGTTGAATCAGTATTGTATCCCCATGCCCCCTTTCTCCATCCTGTTTTTTTTACCTCCTGGCTACACCACAGTCACTGCCTCCTTGTAATAACTCTGATATTCATCTCACTCCTTGCTGAGCTGACCTGGGCCACCAAACTGACAGGAAATCATCCACAAAAGATTAACCCTCTACCTCCATCATACAAATTACATAAAAGAGTTTCCTAAGTGGTACAAAACAGTGCCAGGTGGTTTGCAAGCTACAACCCATTTATGTCCTAAAAGCAGGGAATCCTTACAGCAATGCTAATATTCTGCAGAACTTCAGAAGTTCTCTAAGAGGCTATGTAACACTCCCTCCATCAACAAAATACATGGCCTAGTTTGGAGGCTGGTAACTCTGGCTCCCACTCATTTGGACAAATATGTCACACAGGGAAATGCTGGGGACAAGATATAGGCATCTAAGAATCTCTCCAGGACTTGGGCAGGATAAGATGCTTTCTCAGCAGTTTAGAAAAGGAAATGAAAATCATTGTTCCATCCCAAATTTGAAGAAAAAGTTATTCAGAGAAAGCAAGAACTTCCACAAATCAGAAACTTGTGTATTGACCTAACAGACAATTTCTGGAAGTATAATGAACTCAAGGGTGAGACCAGCACAGTTCCAGCAACACGGGCTCCAAGAACCAAGTACTCCTGGAAGTAAGGATGAAACACTACCAGTACACACAGGAGTTCAAATCAATACACAGGAATACTCAAAAATAACCAGTGGCAACTTGTTAGCTTTGACTTAATTCATGGACAAAAATGCAAACTTACTTGAAAGCCCCACTGTGAAGGTCCCTCTGGAGCTCTCCCTGCCATCGAGCACGGCCCAAACGCTCCAGGATACAGTAGGAGAAGTCAGGGAGTTTTAAGTCAGGGTCCCCCTCCCAGCCTATTAAAGCTCTGTAACGCTGGTCTTGGGAAGCAACAATGACTAGTTTCTCTCCCCATCTGAGAAACAGAAGGAAGAGTAATATATTGTTATTAGTTCCCTAAAAACAGAGAGGTCAATCCCTTTCTCCCCACAAACACCATTCTTGATATAATCTATACAAACTGGGCAAGGACTTAAAAAAAATCCCTTAAAGGTATTTTAATGCCAGGTATAAGGATTTCACTCACTTTTCAACAGCTTCTTTGTAAGTATAACAAGGCTGCAAATCCTTCCTCCTTATCTGATCAGTGATATCTACTCTCTCTTTAAAATACTGGCAGGAACCTTGTATGCCATCTTTGTTATCCAAAATCATGTGGACAGGATAAATATCATCTGAAGCAACAGGACTCCTTTTGCTTTCCAGTATTCCTGTTTCAAGGTCTATTTCTTCGTATCTGGAATAAAAGCAGAGAGCTAGCACTTAACTAAGCAAGGAGAAATGAAAGATTGTCACAAACAATGCTGATAACTGAAACATTGTCACAAACAATGATGATAACCCTATGGAGCACCTTGGAAAAATGAAGCTCTTTTGAGATATCAAAACTGGAAAAACACAAAGAGCAGCGCTGTGCTCCTCAAGTACAACCCAACCTCAGCGTGCAGGAGGCAGAAGGAGGGGGATACACTATTCAATCTGCAAAAACTCAAGAATACTGAAGTGGTGGGAATAAGAGAAACACACAGTTCATAGAGAAGGAAAACAACAGGTACACCCACCCTGATGAACGGGGACATGTAAATTCTGCCTGTAAGTGGCAAGCAGATATTTGAATGGAAAGCTGGTCAGGACTCACAAAGAGGTCACAGAACCACCAAGGCTGGAAGAGAACCTTAAGATCATCCAGTCCCAACCACCTACGGTAAGCCTTAAACCACTAAATCACATCACACAGCGCCAGACCCAAACTCCTCTTAAACACCTCCAGGGGTGGTGCCTCCAGCACCTCCAGCGCAACCTATTCCAGTGCCTGACCACCGTAACAGTGACAGATTTTCTGTAACATCTAAAATCAGCTCCGCAGCCACACTCCGCCCTTCCTGCTGTCACCGACCCAGCCGAGCCTGTGCGAGCAGTGGCGAGGGGCCAGCCCGGCACCCAGGCCCGGGTTCCCCCGGCTCGGGGCTCGCCGCCCCCGCCCGTGCCCTCACCCCTCGTGCAGGCGGAGCGGCGGCCGCGGCCGCGGCAGGCGGTAGAAGCGCAGGTCGGGCTGGGCGCTGAGCGCGGCCCAGAGCAGCTGCTGCGTGTCGGGCTCCAGCGGCAGCGGGAAGGGCGGCGAGCGGGCGGCCAGGCGGTGCCAGAGCGCGGCCGGGGTGATGCCGTCCAGCCCCTCCAGGGCCACCTCGTCCAGCAGCGCCCACAGCGCCTCCATGGCCTCCATCCCCCCCGCCGCCGCTTCCGGGCCCGCGGCGCGCAGGAACTGACGGCGGCGGCGCGACCGTCACCGGGGAAACCGGGCAACAGGAGCGGCCGAGCCCCGGCGGGACGGGACCGGGGCCGGGGCCGGGGCCGGGGCCGGGGCCGTGCGGGGGCTGTGCCCGGGTCAGTGTCTGTCCGGGGGCTCGTCCTGGGGCTCTGTCCATCCGGAGACCGTGCCCGTCCGGGGGCTCTCCTCCGGTGTCCGTGTCTGTCCAGGAGTGCGTGTCCTTCGGAAGACTCTGCCCCGGGTGGTCCATCTCGGTCCGGGGGCTCTGTCCAGGGTCAGTGTCCATCGGGGGGCTGTGCCTGGGGCCAGTGCCCATCCTGGGGCTGTGTCCGTCCGAGGGTTCTGTTCTGGGGTCAGTGTCCGTTCGGGGGCTTTGTCCTTCCGGGGGCTTTGCTCCGAGGCTGTGCCCCGGTGCCCTTGTCCGTCGGGGAGTTCGTGTCCGTCTGGAGACCCCCGGCTGGTCAGTGTCGGTCCCGGGGCTCTGCCCGGGGATCAGTGTCCATCCAGGGTCCGTGTCCATCCAGGGTCCTTGTGGGTCCCGGGGCTCTGCCCGGGGATCAGTGTCCATCCAGGGTCCGTGTCCATCCAGGGTCCTTGTGGGTCCCGGGGCTCTGCCCGGGGATCAGTGTCCATCCAGGGTCCGTGCCCATCCAGGGTCCGTGTCGGTCCCGGGGCTCTGCCTGCGGCTCCCCCTCCGCTGCAGAGCCCAGCGGGGTCGGTCCCGAGCCCGTCGGGGGGTCTCGGCCCCAGATACCCCGCGGTCGGTAAAAGACAAAGTACGGGGGTCCTTTGTTTGGATAAGATGTATTGGTGTCACATTTTAACTTGCTGAGTGCGTGAGAGAACGCCCCAGCTCAACTCGCGGCAGCGCCTCTGGGATGCTTGGTGGGGATGGCTGGAAAGGGTCATGTTTCCTGAAAGGGGAGGTAAAATCTTTAATTAGGCACTTTGAAAGTACAGAGCCTCTGCAGCGAGTAAGCTGTAGAATTAACTCACCTCGTGAGCAGTAGCAGTGCAGGGAGATCACCCCACAGTTGGACACTGAGGAAGCTTCAGCCTGTGCCCCAGCGTTGACTTGCTCATCAGGTCTTGGGTTATAAACTCATTATATAGCATATGCCTTCCACTCTTAGTATTTTTAGGTTCTTCAGGAGCTTACGAAGTGAAGGGTTCTGAAAAATAGGTAAAAACAACTACAGTTTCCTCTGTTCTTCAGGAGCTTTATTTGCTGCACTGACAGGTTTATGCCTTGTTGAAGGAGGAACATTTTTCAGGTTATACATTCTCGTCTATTGAGGGTGCAAGACCAGTGGTACTCCGTAACAAATCATTCAGCCTGACAATTATATTCTTATTTCAGCTTTATATTAAGACATGGTGACTGACTTTGATGAAAAACATGACGAATACTTAATATCCCTTCAGCAGAGAAACAGGTAAGGCACACATTTGTTACCCCCATTGGGTGTGAAATACGTGTTCTATTCTATCAAATACCAGCAGTTGTGGTGCACAGTCTGACTTGCTGTGCTTCAAAGCATTCAGGTGTTTCTCTCTTCTTCTCTTTGTTTGCTAAAGACATCAAAGTTCTTATTTCTAGAGGAGACCATGATGTTTCTTCAGCATTTCAAGTATAAATACATTTAGTAATAAAATAGTTCGCTGGCTGACAGGGAAGATTTTTGTTTGTAGAGCAAAAACTTGTAGATTTAGAGGTAACTGGCAGCTCATGATGTGTGAGGATATAGTTATGAGGAAAGGTTTTTATGTTGTCAGAAATACAGAAAAGTGGGAGATGAGGACATCCAGGTTGCTTTTGCAAACTTCAGTGTCTTTCAGACAAGTTTCAAACATTTCTTTTACTGTTTGTTCTTATGTACCTTCCTGTCATTGTACCCTGGACAGATGAACTTCTTAGTTAACTCAGAAGGGCCTGCAAAACTTTCTTATTGGATTCCCTCCTTTACCACAAGCCATAAGGCTTTTACTTAAATTCTGTGACAAACTGGTTCAGTGAAAAGACAAAAAAAACTTAGAAAGCCACAGTTATGCTAAAAAAAAAATCCCATTTTTGTGAGCATGGGTTTCTTTTGTGTACAGTATCCCGAGTCAGTTTTTGAAGAGAATAAAACCAATCTATTTAATGATTGAAACAACCTGCATCCTTAGTATCAGAGCTCTAATTCTGGATTATGGTGGAAGTAAATGCCACTGAATTACAGTACAACAAGCGGGTGGCCACTGGAGTTGTGCTGGGGGCATTTGATGTTGGACACATCAGACAGTTTGGGGTAGTGGGGCTGCAGAGCTGCCTGTGTGGGAGCAGGTCAGGCTCCTGCTGCATCCAAAACTAACAGAAACAGCCCAACTTTGCCACAACTTCACCAGTCAGAGAAGCCTGGGGTGGGTGTAAGAGAGTGGTGGCTGCAGGGGATGGGGGGCTGTGCAGGGGCAGGTGCAAATTGTCACCCCCAGGATCCCAACCTCCTGACCTGCATGTCACCTCACCAAAAGAGCTAGGATGGACTGGGTATAAGCCATGGTGAAAGGAGAGAAGATGAGACTTGGAAGAGGGAGGGTAGGTGTTTCACTGAAATTGAGCCCAGGGGAAGGGCATTTTTTAAATATTATTTTACCCAGCCTTCAATTTTCTGGTATCTCTAACTGCACTATTGACTGGGGGCTTTTTACCTCAAGTTTCAAAAAACAAATAATATTTTTATTTTCTTTTTTTTTTTTCTTGAAAAGACCTCAACCGTTTTTTCCAAGCTTGTTGGAAATTCTAAGTAAAACTCTGAAAAATTCTTAAGAAGAAAGGTTAAATATGCCAAATACCAATTGGAAAAAATAATGTGAAATGAGAAACAGCGTGGAAAAAATGTCAGAAGGGAGAGGCTCGGTCAAACTTCATTCTGTCACAGTGTTACAGAACAGGAACAGATCCTGGAAAGCTCTATTCTTAAAAGTGTTGTTTGAACTGTGAACATATTTTTCATCTCTGTGAGGTGGTGTGTTGTTGTATTTATTGCTGATCTGACCATCTCTACGTGCACAGCCTAAGGATGAATTATTGTCCTTTCTGCTCCAGGTTACTGGAACGGTTAAAGAGGAAAGATCCTGTGCAGATCAGGCTGGAGCAGCTGGAACAAGGCTTTTCTCTCTATGTGAATGGAGCTAATTCAGAGCTGAGAAGTCACCGCCGAAAAACCAACTCCCACAGCTGCCTTAAAAATGAGACAAAGGCCTCCAGGACAAATGGTGAGTTCCGTGGGAGCCTGGCAGAGAGTGCAGGTAGAACTGCTTGAAAACTGCACTCACTGGAGCTGTAGTTCAGCTGATGAAGTCACTGGCCTGGCTGTGATAAAGAGGCAGCACCATTTGAGCTTGGAATGAAATTCCATGGGACTCTTTCATCCGAGTGCTTAAGCTGGTTGTGTGTAAGGAGCAGTCTCAGCAACACCCTGTCGGTTTTTCAGTTGATCCCTGACTAATTCCAAGGTTTAACTTCCCCGCCTCTCCATTTGTTAAACAGCTCTAACTAAAACCAGAAGATTAGAAGTGTATAGAAATTGTCAGTGTAAAATAATGGTGTATCTTTGTCTGAGACATAACACCATTAATAGGATTTAAAATCTGATGGACTTCAATGTTATCTTAAGTCTGGTGTCCTGAGGACAAATGACATTTGATGACATAGACTGTAATCAAATTATGACCAGTAATAGCTGCATTAAGCTCATAAATGATACTTAAGCTATAATAGTTGTCTTAAAAAGGCAGCTAATCTTTATTTAAATATTTGAAGTTAAGAAAATCTACCATTTTCTCCCAGTGATTAGTTGGCTTTATCTAAAAATGGGTATTTTGTTTCTAATTTAAGTCTGTCTGTCATTGAGAGCAGTGTAGTGACAGGAATAATTTTGCATGCATGAAGGTATAAAGTATGAGCTTACTGGCCTTCTAATCTATTTAGCATAATGAAAAGAAAGTTGATTTTACTAAATCCTTGTGTAAAGCAGTTTACCAGGCTCAGTCAGTTATATTTACCTTACTACAACCTGTCCCAGAGGGTGTTTTTAATCTGTTGCTTTGTAGATGGTCTACTTAAGCTTTATTTTCACCTAAAAATGAAGACAAGGAGTTAAAAAAGTTACTTAATTTGATAATTTATTATGATTGAAAGTTTATTAATCTCAACAATACTGGAAACTAACTTTTCCTTCAATAACCATGACTCTAGCTTAATTTCTCTTTTATTTTGTTTTCCTGCCACATTGGGCACATACTACTTGTATTCAAGTTTAAGTGTGTTCAGCTTAGCTGTGAAACCTCGTGTGTAGTGATGGAAAAAGGTTCATGCTCTTGGATACTGGAAAATGAAGGAAATTTTGTGCCTTGTCACTCTGGGATAATACACTTTGAGGGAGCAAAGCGACACCTTTGGCTTTTTGATCCAGAACTTGTGCAGGGATATTGTGGCAGCAGCTGCAATTGAACTCAGTCAAATTTCCTCTCAGAGTTCTACTGTGCAGTTGTTATCTCTGAGCTGATCCAAAGTTCATTATTTTTATGGTCACTTGATGCTGTTTGATTCAGTTAAGGTAGAATACATGTCTTAGGGACCTTTAAAGACTTCAGTTGCAGTCTCTGTTCCTTTCCTCAGCTCCATCAACTTAGAGATTGTGGCATTATCTCTGCAGAAGACAACTCAGTGCTGTTTCTTCCAGTGTTGATGTTTTAAACACATGAAGCTGCAATGGAAGATGTCAACTGAATCATCATCCTGTCATTTTTCTTCTTCCATTTCATTTTGCCACTGGAGTCCAGAGGGGGAATTATTGTGACCTATATAATCTTCTTGCCTGGGAATTCTACTTTAGCAATTTTGTGGTCTCTTTCATTTTTAGGCATTTTTCTCGATGATTGAATATGATTTTACTTACAGAAATGATTCCTAGCTGAGATGCAGCACTGAGTTTTCTTCCCTTTCTGTCTCTCGTGAGAGTTATTGCATCATTCATTTCTTCTAAAACATCCATCTATAGGATTAGTCTTCACTGAAAAATTAGGAATATGTGATACTTAATAATCCAGAACAGGCACAAATCCCTCTTCCTGGTTCCTGAAAGTGTCAACATAAATCTACTTGTCAGGACTATTTTCTTTGTCTGTGTTCCCTTGGAGTAAATAATGATAATAGTGATTGATAAACTTTTATGCTTAGGATTGGTAAATGAATTAAAGTAAATGATGGGCTTGTAGTGAAGCTGAGCTCTGGGTGTCCTGTCATTTTTTTGGGTCTGTAACCCACACATAGTTTCACAACTATGTTTGTACTTCCAATGAATGCCTGTGTGGTCACAAAGTTGTGGTTTAAGGGTAGCATGGAGTCTCCTTTGATTATGACTAATATTTTGATGATGTACTGCTGAGTTCTTGCCTCCTGGAATAGGCACTGTCAGCTCAAGTCTCCAAGGGAATGATACCAATGGACCTATTCTCTGTGCCAGAGCAGGTGGTGGTTGGTATTCAGATTCCATCCCACCCCAAGAAGGATGTTTTCGTTCTAAAGTAATGTTTGTTGCACAGATGACTTGCTCAGCTCTATCAGCCTCTGCCTGGGGTTTGAATTACTGTTTTTCCTGGTTTATAGAAACCTGGTCACGTGAATCCATCACTAAGAATCATAGAATCACAGAATGGTTTGGGTTTGAAAGGGACCTTAAAGCCCATCCCATTCCATCCCCTGCCATGGGCAGGGACACCTTCCACTATCCCAGGTTGCCCCAAGCCCCCTCCAACCAGGCCTTGGACACTTCCAGGGATGGGGCAGCCACAGCTTCTCTGGGCAACCTGTGCCAGGGCCTCCCCACCCTCACAGCCAAGAATTTCTTCCTAATACCTGATGTAACCCTACTCTCAGTTTGAAGCCATTCTCCCATGTCCTGTCATTGCATTGTCTCGTCAATAGTTTCTCCAAATACTCAAACAATTCTGAGAACCAGCAGTGGTAGCACAAGTCCTACCCTGTCCCCTTTTCCTACTTACATATGTAGGATACATGAGTGACTTCTGGGCAGTTGCTTGGAAGAGATGGATTGCTTAGGGAGTGAAAGATGCTTTTGTCCCAAAGCAGTGGCTGAGTCTGACCACCCTTTTAGCATTGTAACCTCAGGGCAATTCACTCAGTGTCAGAAGAGCCCTGAAGCAATCAGCACCGATGCTAATTAATAACTGCAGAGTATTTCTGGAGGTACTTAGGAATAGCTAATGGAGTAGCAGGAGCTCTACTTCCTTTTCCCCTCTGTTCTTAGTCCTGTTTTGGGCCTATGAGACAAATACCTTGCACTGAAGCAATAGAACAACATCCTGTTCTTGCTCTGTAATGTTATTTATGATCAGTGCAAATTGACATAAGCATACACTGTTCCCCCAAGAATGGTCCTACCCTGTTCCTGTTTCCTCCTGTCTGCTCGTACCAGCATTTGTGCAATCTCCTGGTGAACCAGATTGCACAAGTGGCTGTAATTAAAATGAATCTTTTTTGTTTTTTTACAGTCAAAACTTGCCCGCATCAATTCTCTGTTGTCCAACCCAAAAAAGCAAATGTGTTATTGAGAGCTGTAATGAGCAACCTGATCTAATTTTGAAGTAAGCCCTCCTCTGAATGGAAAGGTGGACTAGGTGACCCTAGAGGTTCCTTCCAAACTAAATCCTTCTGTGATTCTATGACCTTTGTAGGACAATTGGTTCTTTTATTGGTAGTGCCAGTTGCTGCTGGCTTAGGGTGACCATTAAAATTATGGCTGGAAGAAAAAAGGTTTTGCCTCAGCTGTTTTTCTCCACTGAGAAGAAATGGAAGCTGTAAATCTGTCTTGGACACAGGAAATGAGATGCCTTTATTTAGGATGCTACTGAGAGTGTTGGTGATGCCCTTATTCCATTGGGGATGCTGATGTGACCTGCAAGATGTTTGTCTCTTTGTCTCAATCAAAGCACTGTTCCACTGTAAGCTGGGGGCATGTCCAGCACAGGAACCCTTAGTTTTCCTTGACCATACAGAGATTTTTTGCAGAAGTTCCAGCACCAACTCTTCCTTGCCTTAGAAATGAAGGCTAATTGTTGTTTGTCCTTCATTTATGGCTTGTACATGAAGAATTCTTCTCTACGCAGTGTCTTAAATAACTTATACATTCTGTTTAATCTGCCAGTATCTCATGTTGCTTTAATTTGAGAGTAAATGCACAGTTCCTTTGTAAACCCAGCATATCACCTGTTGTTCACCAGAACCCTGTCTGTCAGAGCCTGCCTTTGGTAGTAGAGGTTCTGGGCTCAGTTGTCTTCCTAAAACAGCTTATTGTGTACCCAGCTGGGGCTTAGAATGATGTGCATCCCTGTTCTACAATATATTTCTAGACTTTCTAGACAGAAAAAGTGATGCTTCACCTGCTGTTAAGCTGATGTATCTTTAAAGAGTTTGTTCTCTTGAATACACAGGGTGATGATTGTCCCTGAAGAGATTCCAAGCTCCTACTCCCAATATACAACTGGCCAGGATCTGAAATGGGATGATGTCTCTGTTGCTGATACCATTCACATCTCAAACACTTGCTCCTCTGTCCTCGTCTGGAAAAAACCTCCAACATAAACCCCAAACCAAAATGTGAACTAAGGTGTATATTGTCACATATTGTATTTCTGTTTTCTAATCCTTGTATTTGTGTTCTGAAAAAGCAGCCCAGCTAGGGGAGAGGGAGTTGCCAGAACACAGCACACAGACTGCACCCACCAAGATCCAACGCAGGAATTGGCTCCAGGTAAGAAGCAGTTGGAAGGAATGGGTGTTTGAACTCATCCTTAGGTTGTAAATAATTTCAGGAGAAATCGTTTGCAACTTGTAGATAGGTGGGAATCCCATAGAATCTGAGTCTTGGCTTGGTGGGGTGCTGAGTGACAATGTGAAATAATTCTGTGGCCAGTTTTGTGTCTACTTTGAAGCCTGAAGAGGCAAATCTCACTGAAAGGGTCTGGTTTCAGTGACATCTGTCACAGAAGCTTTTGTGGCTTGGACATGATTGACTCAATGTGTCCTCCAGCAGAACAGCTGTTGCTGGACATCTCTGATGGCAGCCTAGAGAATTTATCCAGTGCAAAAGATGGAGAAACTCATTTCTGAGAGACATCCCTGCCTGTCACTGGTGTTCTCCACACTGCAATAGAGTTGAGAGACACAAAAGTGTAATTTGCATAGCTTGAGTTGTAATTTGTGACAGATTCCTGTAGATCATAAGAGAGGAAAATGCACAGAGATGAAAAAATATCCTATATATAAGAAATTTGGAGCCATTAGTTACATAGTTGTTGGTTCAGTGGAGAAGCATCAATGGTCTTCTTTTCTTTTGACCTAAAGAAGGATTTGAGTTAACCTGTCAAGGACTGTGGCTTAATTAACATAACAAATGGGAATTCTGAACAAGGGAGACATGTCACCCAGATAATTACTCTACTTGATTAGTAGTTGGCCTGGCTGTCCAGTGGCTGGGGATCAGGGCCTGTGTCACTGTGGATCAAGTGTTCATGCCATGCAGGTTTGCTTTTCTTCCAGCAAATATTGCACATTCGAGCTTTTAGGCTGCATTACTTTATTTACCACCCTTACTGCTTCAAAGTTGAGTTTAATTAATTTTCTCAGCTGCTATTACTCCCAGTAGATCAGTGCTTACACACTGGCCTGTCAGGACTTGTTTGCTAAATTTGCCACATGTGTAACAAGTCATAACCTGTGTCATTCCAGTGAAGAAGGAGGCACATTCTCTGACTGGATTGGAAAGTGAGCTAAATGTAGGCAGCTATACTGAAAACTGGCCACTACTTGGGACTAGCTTAGAATGATACCTTAAGTCTTTTAGCCAGTTGGATGGGAAGATAGCAGTTATCCTAATGAACAACTGGAATTATTTAGCTAAGGAAATATGCAACCACTGAGTAAGATGGAGGTTGTGCTATTCAGCAGTTTACTTTCCCAGTGATTTTCCCTGTAGGTTTTTTGGATAGCTGGAGGACCCAGCAATTCATATCCAAAACTGCCAAACTTGGGCTGTGCTAAGGTGTGTTCTGAGGAGGGAGGATAGACTTGCTGAAAGAACTCGGTCTGTCAAAAGCCAGGTTGCCTTAGGATATTCCCTCTGGGACATCTCTGCCCCTGGCACTTACAGAATTGTAGAGGAGTGTGTGAACAGCAGATAATGAGGTTTAATATCACTACACAGGCTTCTGTGTCACGTTGCCTTTAACGAGACTGTCCTCTGGCCATTGTTCACTTAGGAGACACTGGGACAGCAGCAGCAGGTCAGGAGTTTGACCGGGGTGGTTAAACCATAATTTAGAGGCCCAAAGGTGAGCTCAGGGAGGACAGAAACCTTCTCTGGAACAAAGGGGAAAAGCAGTGCTTGATGTAGACATTATTATGTAAAATGTGATGATTATTCTAGCACCAAAGACATCTAGTTTCTTTGAATGCTTCTTTTAACAGAAAACTGTGGCAATTAAAACAGAAAAAGGGGGTAAACTCTACATTAAACCATCTCTTCAGTACTCTGAGGATTTTGAACCTTATGAAAGCTTGACCTTGGAGACAAATGGTGATGATCCTCTCCATTACTCCCAGGTACAATTGGCAGTTGCCCTCTATTCTATTCTATTATTCATGGTAGTGTCATTTGAAATGTGAAAGGGCCCGGGGGTCAGTCTTGGCTGGTGTGCAAACCCAGAATATAGTGGTTCCTTCATTAGGTGATTCTGCGTTGTTGAGATGTGACACAAAGAAGGAAAAAATGAAAAGTAAAGCTTCTTTTGAAAATCTGGCCTCAGTCAGCAGCACTGCAAAGCATTAAGTCCTGTTTTAAAGAGGCAGAATGTTGTCCCTGTTGGATTGAATTAAGCTGTTCCTGCAAGGAGCCTCTTTCACTTCATGGCTGTGCACATGAACATCACTCTTGGCTGTCAAGTTAGAGAAGGCTGAAACAACAACTTTTTCTGGGTTTAGGTTAGTTTTTGAGTAATCATGCTAAAATTGTTGCATATAATTGTTTTATCTAACAAAAATCAGACAAAAGTTTTAAAAATATTCAAATCAATACAGTCGCTTTCCATCAAGGGTTGTTTTTGTATGGACTGTGCAGCCTTCTCTTTGATTACTAATTGCAGTTTGTTCTAGCACACCTCATGAATGTCCTGTCCTTAAAAAAGATGAATAAATGAACAAAAATTTATGGATGTTTTTCTGCTTAACCAATTAATGACACCACTAAAGCTGTTGTGGGTAGTGGAGTAGCATCTATCTGTGAAACTGTCTGCAGATCTTATCACTGACATCAGACAAAATTCCCAAGCATAGTTTCCTAGCTTGCACCTGTCTCTCTTTCCTACATTGCTCTTGAGTTTATGATTATTTTTTGCTCTACAAGCTGGTAACTTGTTTACAGTGATGGATATTTATAATCTTTAATAATTTTAAACCAAACCCCCCACTTTTCTTTTTATTCCAGATGGAAATACCTTTTGATTTTCCTGAAGCTATAATGTGTTTTCTTGAATGTCTTGGTACAATGCAGATGCATGAGGTTTCAAACTAAAAGAAAGCCTGTACCATTTCCTGTCAAATACCTAGAAATATTAGTCTAGACTGTCATAAAGACATGCTCCATATCAAGGCTCAGGTTGCTTATAAACCCTCTTTTGAACCTAACTTTGCCTGCTCTTTGTAATATGCATCTGTCAACATGGATTTCCTAACAAGTGTAATCTGTAGCAGCTCAAAGCTTTCATTGCAAACTGAACATACACTGTCACAGTTCATTTGTACCTGAAGTGGCTTCAGGTTTTCATTTTATGTAGTTTGCTTACCTATATTTATCTCAAAACTCTAATATCAACAAAACAGGGGGGGAAAAAGCATTTAAGAGATGCAAGGTCTTTTCCTTTTGCTTTCATAAAAGCACACAGCTCTCCAGCATCATCTGTGCTGTTTGTGGCATATAATGAGAGAGGCAGGGCAATTTTTTTCCACAGCAAGTTTCAAAATAGATTAATTTTTGCATAAAATCCTGTTACAGTGTGTCCACTTCAAAAAAATCTGTGCAAACTGGGAGCTTAACCCATTAGACCACAACTCTTTTCCACTGGTTTTTGAAGTACAGATGTGTAGAAGGCAGGACTGTTATCATCTAGCCAAGTGCTTATAAAGAATTTGATATTACATGATATTGGCAGTCTTGTCAAGGCATTTGGAAATTCTGGATTGCAGCTACTCTTCAAACAGAAAGAGACTGGACAAATATATGCCTTTGCCCCCTCCATTACTCACCTCCTGTTTGTAACTTATTCCTAAAAAATTGGTTTTGCACATAAAAACTCCTTGGCCTACAGAATGTTCCTGCAAGGATACCGATGAGGAGGGACAAAGGAGTTGTAGGATGAGTTTTCTTTACAAACCTTATCAAAGGAGTGAAGACACAACCTAGGAATATGAATATTTTTAGCTGCATCGTGGCTTTGAGTTCATGAGGACGTTTTTTTTCCTCCTGGGTAGGAAGAGGCAGCCACACTGGTTTATTTTAAAATACACATTTGAGCTTTTCTGACAGATCTGTTCTTATTGTACCAGGAATTGAGGAGCAGCTTGCAACACAGTGTAGAAGAGGAAGGGATGGAAGAAGACTCTCTTAGTGATGACTCTGACTCTGTTGAAGAGGATGTATTTTCAGAGCCATCTCCCACTGAGGAAGACATTTCAAGCTTTGAAGACCTTCATTTCCATGGCAGTAGGTCACTGCAGAAAGAGGTTTCTGAGCATCAGGATGCTGGGAGGTGCTCTGGCCTTGATTGTGGTGCCCTCACTGTGCTGGAGTCCAACCAGGATCAGAGCAGTGAGTCTCTGTGTGCTCTACCCTGCTACAGTACTGCAGTAATGATTCTTTGAGAGCAGTGCTTTTAAGGGAATGGCTGGTTAATCATTGGGGGTTACTCCATACTCTCATTTTAATCTGCTGATTTGGAAGATTTGCATCTTCTTGCTACTTTATTAAGAATTTTTTTTTCAAACACGAGGATGTAACCCTAGTTAATGCCCTGCATCACCAGGTCTAGACACTTGAACAAATATTGTCTCAGATTGTCTGTGGGATTTCTCAAGAAATTACTATGTTTTTAATAGGTTTTTGAACTGTTTTTGCAGTAATTCAGGCAGCCAAACCTTCCCAGTCTCAACTTTATTTCACATCCTGAGTGCTGGATATTTCTTGTTATAGTGTGTGCTATTTATCCTCGGTAAATGATATGAACCACTACTTTTTGTGTCCTTTGGAGACCTCAATGTCCAAAGCCACAACCAGTCACTAGGTCTCTAAGGTATTTAGCTTGTCAAAGGTGAAGAGTTCAGGCAGAAACCAGACCTAGACTTACATTCACTATTTCTCAAAATTCCCTCCCACTCATTTCAGGTTCAGTAATTGGTTTTGGTTGCTGGTTTTGTTTATTCTTTCTTTTCCTTATTCATAATTAATTGCATAAACTAAGAGGAACGATCTTTGAATAAATTGAGCAGAGGATTGTTCCTCTCATTATCACTGATGTGATGGAGTGTGAGTGGGGAGGGGGCAGAGGAAGAGATAGGAACAAAGGATGGAGCTGCAGTGAGAACAAGATCTTTGGGAGAGTACATGATTTTTTGTCTAGAGAAAGGTTTCAAACCTGTAAACAATGGAGGCATTAATAATTCTCAAATAAAAAAGGGAAGAAGTATAGATGAACTACACTAGGCAACCCTCTAAATAAGACAAGATTTAGTCAGTGTTTTAAGAATTTATTTTAGTGTAATGTGTTAACAAGTGACTCAGGAGTTCATTTTTATTTTGGCTTTTCTTGACAGTAATGCAGGTAAATACCTGGTAGAGATGAGATCTATTGGTACACTAGAATAATATTTTTGTTTTGTTTCACTAAGTGCAAGCCCTGCTTATGTGCTTCTGTATCAATAGAACAATATCAATGAGAGGGAGGGAGATTATCACTTTAACTGTGCCAACATAATTAAAGCAGCAAAACCTTAGCAGTTAGGATCCAATAATTTTTTCCCCAGGATGGCTGCTCCTAAGTAACTTCAAAGTTGATTATTTCTGTTTCCTTTTGATGTTGCAGAAGTGAAGCCAGTGCGAGTTCTCTCTGCCAGAAGAAAGGACAGTGCTGAATTGTACATTCCTGTCAGACCAGTCATGGTGAAAAAGAGAGGCACTCGGCCACTCTCTGCTGAGTTCTTGCACCAGGAAAGACACGAAAAAATTTGTTCTAGTAAGAAATAAGAATATATGATGTCAATAAGGAGAGTTTTCATGCTTTTTCTGCCTCTGGCTCAGATGCAATTTCAGGAAATATTTGTCATTATGTGATTTTTTTTAGCTGTCCCTCTCCTACCTTTTTTTAGTTGTTTTTAACAACTCGAGTGTTTTCACTTCAGTAAAATTGTGAGAAGATCCAGTGCCTGCATACTTTAGTCCTCTGTATCTTTACTATCTTCCTTCTCTTTTTGTTTCCACAGTGTAAGACTTTTTGCCTCTGCCTTTCAGTCCTTGCACTTGATCTGTGTTTTCCACTTTCCTCATGGAGATCTGTTCCCTATGGTATTAATGGAAGTGTGTCTTCTCTAGATCAGCAATTGATGCTTGGTGGAAGATCTTAACATGATGTGTTTATAGCAATAAAAATGGCATATTTTTTCCACAATAATAAAGGCATAACTTTCCACAGCACAACAAAACAGCTCTGTTGCTGCTTGGGACTGCACTGGAATTACACCTTGAACACTGGAGATCAGTCTCCAATGCTGAGCAGATATGCCAGTATCTAGGACCATTCTGGAAAATATTTTTCCTGGACTGAAGAACAACATTTTTCAGGCACTGCTGCTTATCCTAAAAATCTGCTGCTAAAATGTGGTCTTTACCTAGGGAAAAAACCCAACAACACACAGCAAACCCCAAAACTAGGGCTGAAATCATGACTGCAGCTGTATTTCAGTGCAGTCCTAAACAAGTCTGATGAGTTTTGAAAGGTCTGAGATGAAGTTTTCAGACATGCCTTACTTTGTGGTTCAGATGCTCTTTTCAAAAGAGCAAAATCCACTCGTGTCCCAAGAAAGCAATAAGGGTAATGGTTTTGAGAAGTCCAAATATTAGTTTCTTAATTGGCAGAAAACCAAATGGAGGAAAAGAAGCTAATTCTTTTTGGCTTCGGAATAAATCCCCTTTGTAGCTTCTGAGACCCTCACCCACCATCTGTCTGAGCAGATGCTTGCTTTGACTGCTTCCCAAAGATGTGTGCAGCATTTCCTCAGGTTATAATAGTGCTTGTTGGAACTGTTTCTGCCCAACTATCACATTAAAGCTCTAATTTCATTTCAGGGGGATGATATAGTACAGAAAAGTAAACAGGACTTTATCCTGTCCCTATTTTTGCAAAGATGGATTAATGCTCGTTGAAAGGTTTCATGTGTGAATGTGTAAGGAGTGTGAATGCATGCAAATCTCAGCTCAGTTTTAATTTCTTGTCTTTCAGGGTAGACTTCATCTTACTTGCATGCACTGCACTGTACTCTCCTGATTAGTAAACCTCCCTGCAGCATTGTGAGCTCTCTGAAATATCAATCTGTTCTTCAATATTTCCACTCAATCTAAATGTCTTTACAACTTCAGTCTCTTTTCTTCCCTTGACTTTCAAAGTCCTCAGCTATAACCACTGTGCTTCTCTTTTGAATATAACCACTGTGCTTCTCTCTTAGTCCAATCTCAGATCATCTGTTGTTAAATTTTATTTCCTTTCTTTTAAACCTGTTTATAGGCTGTGATGTTTCTATTTCTCCTTGAAGTTTGGGAAGATTGGGATGCATATGGGCATTGTGATGACTACTTAAGTGATAAGGTGACTTATTCTGCCTTGCAAATAGCAAGTCCTGGCTCCCCTTGTTTTGCTGGAAGACTCTGGGGATTCCTCCAAAATAGCTGAACACCCCAGTTACACTGCAAAATCCTGCTGTGCTTAAATTATATATACTTCTCTTTCAGTGGACTATCACAGGGCAATTCCACTAAATACCAGAATGAAGCAATCCAAACTCATAAAAATTATGTTTCTCATTTGTCAGTTTTCCTCTCCTTATGATGCTGTTTTAACTGTTGTCTAAACTAGATGTGAATCTCAACATAAAACCAAAGTGGAGGAATTCAGCCTCACTTGGGATGGTTACTGCAAAGCCCTGTGTCAGTGACTGAACTGGATGTTTCAAGTGGATGCTGCTGTGATGTTCCATACCTGTATGTCCAGACAGATAAACGTTTCTTCCCTCTTTTGGTGGCAGGACCCTTAAGTCGACCAGAGAGGTCACTGTCAGCCACTCGGAAGAACGTGTGTGAGAAGGATCCTGATCTCTCGGTTTCAGCTGTGGTTCAAGCCATGAAAACTGAGAATGAAGCCTTGCAGAGAGACCTACAAAGCTCCACAGGCCCTGAAAAGGTGTGGAAAATACCAGAGAGAGCTGTTTGATCGAGTAGCAACCCCCCGTGAATTACAATCTCTTATACGTTGTGTATGAATGGATGGTGATGCCTCTTAAGCGTAATTGAATTTGTATTATTCTTCCATAGGGTTGTTTTCTTTAATCTGCTTCCTCAGGATAGCATCCCACAGCTCTCTCTTGATTACAGGGATCACTGAGCAACTGATAGACCAGCAGTATGATGTGTCTATGCAGTCAAGTGCACAGCTGCAGGCCCAGTTGAGCCATTTTCATCCTGGAAGCTTCTTAAACAAGATAATGTGTGATTTCCGTACCGATAAATCCTACATCCCTGTGGGACTCATTAATGTGGGCACTCTTCCCTGTTAGTACAGTGTCATGTACACTGCTAGATCTTACTGAGGAGGAGCTGGTATGGGTTTTCTGTGTGTACATCTCTTATCTCCAGCAACCGTGTTTAAAAAAAATTAAAAACTCATCTTAAAAACAAGAAAATCAATAAAAACTAGCAAAAATGTGCAGTACAGGCAGAGAAAGAGCATTGTAAGAAATTTAGCAATTTTCCTCTATGTTCTTTTAGGTAGTCACTGATAGTTCTGTATTTAAAAAAAGAAATCGTTTTTTTATTCTAATAAAACTGAGGGGTTTTGGGATTTAAAAGTGTTTATGATCCATTTTTGGAGAAGGAGAAAGTCAGTAGACCCGTGCCAAAAGTTTGGCCAACCCTGATTCTCACCAAATGTACAGAATGAGAATTTTTTACATATATATAATATATATATATATATGTAAATATGTGAAAGTCCTCAGAATATGCTTTTATGTTACTTTTCTTCCATGTAGAAGATCAAGTTCCAAGCTCAGCTCTTTCATTGCAAATCAAGACCAATTCTGTTAAATGTGCTTTAACTCAGTACAGAGTTACAGATGAGCTGGGCCCAAACTCTTATTTATTCCAGAGATGCAGACTGATGCTCATTAGTATGTGGAGAACAATCTGAATGAAACATGTTCATCTTTTTCTTCCTTAGAAGAAATCTTCTGTTTCATCTCTTGTTTCCTCAATGACTGAACCTCCAGAAAAAAGCCAGACAAGGAGTGCAGTGACAAAAGCTGAGAGAATCTGTCCTTTTGGAAGCAGGTATATATATTTGCTTTAGGCTAACTTCCTTTTTTTTTGAAGAGAGATTTTTCAGAATGCCACTACACCTGGTAATCTTCAAATCCCTCAGCAGTATCAAGTAGTAGCAAATCAGGGAATCCAGCCTTGGGCCAGTCTCTGCAGAGCAGGGATCTGCCAACATCTTCCTTTATTGTATTTATATAACCTGGGCATTGCTTTCTCAGAACCAACTGTGAACTGGAGCCCAGTTTTTTAACCAAACCCTGTGTTTTTAAGATGGGATGCTGCAGCAGTTCTCATTCAGTGTGAGCCTGCATGAGTTTTTCTGTGGGGTGTGTGAATTCATCTTACCATCTTTTCACACCAACTAAACTGTTTCTTAAAAATGCAGGGATTATGAGGAAGTAGCACATAAAAGAATATGTTGTTTCAGACAAAAGAAGAAACTTCTGAAAGTCTTTCTGGAGCATGAGAGCCATTCTGCCTGTGACAATGACAGATCCCTGGCTGATGACAAAGCTGAAGCAGATTCCATGTTGAGAGAGAAGGTTTGTGTGTATTTGCACCATAATTGATGCTTCCCAGAATTACTAAAATAAAAGTACAGTGAATGATGTGTATTCCACTGATTCTGCCCCATGTCAACTAATAAACCTATGGCAGAGTTTATCACTTCATCAGAATGACAAAGGAATCAGACAAGGAACAGGGAGCTGTTTTCTCTTTGGGCTTTTTGAGAAGGTTGGTTTGTGGCAGAATTGGTGGAACCCAGAATGAACTGAATGCCATCCAGATGGCCTTGACTTTGCAATCTTTTTCCTTCTGACCCATCAGTGTTGCAATCTTAACAGTGTTTCTTTTTTTCCACACTTTACTGTTTTGTCACTTAAGGTTTTTACCGTATTTCATTTTGGTCCAGGTGACAGCCAGCGTGGAGGTGCATGATGCCATTTATGTGACTATGGAACTGCTTTCCAACTGGGGAAATCCAGGAAACGTGGGCCTGAGCCAGGTGGAATTCTTTGATTTACACGACGAGAAGATCTTTGTGTCTCCCCATGATGTGGACATTCGAAATGCTGACAACCCAGGGGATTTGTGCTGCCTGGTCAATAAGAATTTAAATGTAAGACAGCCTAGCCCTGGATATTAAAATCTCTCATTATAATGTAATACTCTATCACCAGGTTTTTTGTTCAGAAACATGATTGCATTTTGAACCTGACTGCTTAACAACTGTGATAATTTAAAAGAGTACAAATACTGCCTATTATTAACAAATCCAGCTTTCCTCAAGATGTTGGTATTCAGTTATAACTTTGCTTTAGAACAGTGTTTGATTAATTTGCCTGACTTGCTTAACTAAACAATTGGATGGAGGAAGCTTTAACTCTGCCTCCTTATATATTAACTCTATGGTATTGTCTTGGGTAAAAGAACACATTCAGTTTTTAAGTTTTGTGCTGTAGAATGAGATCACAAAACTTTGAGAACAGTGAATTTCACTTTTTTAGAGTGTGTGTGCTGATAAACTGAAGTAATTCTTGTGGTCTCAAGGTATAAGAGCTTCACTGCTAATTTCTTTCAGATGTTTAATATGAATTTTATAGGAGAGTAGAAAGAGGGCAAATATGCAGTGTTTTGAAATTTAGTTGAAACTCAGTATGGAGTATTATTTCCAGAGAAATATTTTTACTTGAAACATCTTTCTTACTGTCTCCTGAACACTGTAGTGTGGTGTCTAAATATCCATTCTCCTTTACAGGCTGTGTATCTGACACTCAGTAGTAGTAGTAGTGACTCTCAGACTCTCCAGCTAATTATAAATTATGGGGTAATACCTTCATTAAGCCATTATAAACCTGTTATTCTCAGCATTACTCATATATTTATATATCCCATTATTCTTAAGTAATGAGGTTTTACATTTCATTGATTAATATTTCTTTGATTTGTGACACTGTAATCTCCTCTCTTGAAGCTGGAAGGGTATTGCATCCAAGATGCAATCTGGACAGGGAATACATTCTTAAGATTTGGGAATGGGATACCTGAACTGCAGGTTCCTTCAGAAGTCAGACAGCCTTTCCAGTTTGTGTACATTTCAGGAGAGCTTTTGGGTGCATTAGAAAACCCAATAAATTAATCAATCTCCAAGCAACTAATATTTTCAACAGAATGATAACTTGACATAAAAACTTATTACGTGGAAAACTCCTTTTACCATTCTTAAAACACTTCCATCTTTGATCATTTAGGTGTACATTTGTCTTTGAAAATCGACAGTAGATCATCTTACTGAAGATCAGGGATTTTATTAGTTTATTTATTACCCTTGCAGACTTTTAAGAAGAGCACTTGAATTGCCTCCTTCCTTGTACTTTGTGATAAACTATAAAAGAGCAAAAAGCCTGGCAGAACATCAGGTGCTGTCTACTAACTTGATTTAGATTAGAGATAAGGAAGAAATAGGGTGAGGGTGGTGAGGCCCTGGCACAGGTTGCCCAGAGAAGCTGTGGCTGCCCCATCCCTGGAAGTGTTCCAGGCCAGGTTGGACAGGGCTTGGAGTAACCTGGGCTGGTGGAAGGTGTCCCTGCCCATGGTAGGGGTGGAACAAGGTGATCTTTAAGATCCCTTCAAACCCAAACCATTCTGGGATTCTGTGATAATGCTTAATAAGACATAGATTAGGTATTGCATTGAAATTGTTTTCTGTAAACCTTTATAGGTCTTTTAAACCTCAGAATAACAAGGACAGGTAACTGTAATTCTAGAAATATCTAACAAGGGTATTTCTTCCCAGTGGTGAACCCTTAGAGCCACGTCATTCCCCTTCACACTGCTTGAGTCTTCCTTTGCTCTCCATCAGGTGCACCTTCAGTGCCCACGCAAAGCAGCGTCCCACAAAATCTAAGACTAGAGGTTTCCACTCTCCCTTTTTGCCTTGATCCAGTTTGAATTCCAACTCCTTAACCTGTTCACCCTGATGGTTCAAAGAATTTTTGGGCTGGATTTTCCAGCTCTATTTGCAAAGACAGTAACCCCAGGCTCAAGTACCTCATGTGAAGGCAAAGACATCACTGTCGCTCTTGGTGATAAAACATGAGAGTCCTCCACAGTTTCAAGAGTTTTGACATGGATTCTTCAAGGTGCCTTCAATTTGTGGTGTCAGGTCTTTGACGTGCTAATGGGGACTGTAACAGCTGTGAGTTTGTGTAACCCCAGTCCTAAGTGGTTACTTCCACTGATAAACCAGAGATCTCTGTGCCTCTCACTCACAGTACTGGCCTGGCTCTGATGTACCTCCTGTTGTTTGGAGCTTTACAGAGAAACTGGTGAGAAGCATGGAGAATTCTTTCCAGAGTCCATTTTGGTGCTGAATCAGGTACCCTCCTGTGAAGGCACCTCTGGCTCTCAGTACACACCAGAACCTATTGATTTCTGGGGCATCAGGTCCTGGCTGGAGAGGTCTGCAGGTGGATTGCTCATCAGACGTTGTATGCTGTTGGGAAATTATTTTTTAACCATTCTTGTTCATAGTATGACTTCAAAACCATGATGCAGCTTTGAAGTTGACCCTGGAGTTGGGTTCACACTGATTTGAGGGCTATCTTTCATTCCTTTGATGTTAAGAGGCATCTTTCTGTTCTTCAATAGAAAGTATTAAACCTGTCTGGCACTCTTGTGGCTGTTTTTGCCCCAAGCTGACATTATACACAACAACAGTCTCCCAAAGCTTTTTGAGAGGCTTCTGGGGCAGAGACATCGTGACTTGGGGGAGTTTGGAATGTGGAGATGACCACTTTGAGAAGTGGATCTATTCAGGATATCTGTGAACAGGCTGCAGAGCTCTGTCCTCACCATCATTAGGCACACAGCTGAAGTACTCAGGAGGAAAGTTTTGTGATTACTGAAAGACTCACTTCAGAGTGAAAGGATGTGGAAAAATACTGACTGTGTACCTACTGTGTCACTGTATGTACTGTGTATCCTTGAGAACAGAAGGAGGCTAATTTATCTCCTCATCTCAGATCACTGAAATGTTACCTGCATGTGTATTCACTTTGTGCCCTTCTTCATCTCTGTTTTGAGATAACATTTGACATCGAGTATATTAATATTCAACATTTTGATTCTGAAACTCCTTGCCTCTTTCTGAGGTGCCACACATCCTTTTACTCCACTTCTGAACATTTGGAGGTAGCAGTTTTTTACAGTTTTCAGAATTGGTACTTTTAAGTCTCTTGATTGCCAGTTGTATGTAAAATTCATGTTGGGAGTTTCTGTGATATCTTTGAAAATATCAAGTGTAGAGTTCTATATAGCTCCAAGGAATAGATCTGTAAGTGATGTTGGCTGTCTGCAAAGCCTGATTAAAATAGAGGCAGGCAATAAAGTAAAATTCTATAAGATTTCCCTCTTTAGAGAGCAAACCAGAAGTGTAAGCACAGGAAGAAATCACAGAATGATTGTCCAGCGTCCATTGTGCTCGGTGATCCCCTCTAGTACAGGCAAAGCTGATTAATTTGATTAAAATAAACTGGGCTTGCTCTGACCCTGCAGTTCCAAAGCAGGGCAGGCTGCCTGTGGTGTGTGAGTGTGCAGATGCCTCCCTGGGACAGCGAGCAGCTGACCTTTATCTCATTGTCAGGTTCTTGGGAGCTGCCTTAGAGGCAGGAGAGTCGGATTTGCTGCTGGGAAATGAGGTTGAGGTTTTGCTCTTACGTAGTAGATTTTATTGAATTTTCTAATCTCTGCCTATTCTGCCGTGGGGTGGGGAGTTAATTAAAATTAAAACCCCTGCTTGAGGAGGAAGAGTTAGTGACAGTCTGCTTGTGTATGTTTTTAGCTCAGGAAGGAAAGCTGCCTCTGGATGTGCCCTTTCCATCCGCCCATCCAACTGTACTTTGTTATCCGCAATCCCACCCGGTCATGTGACTTTGGTATATCCAAGATCAAGATTTGGAATTACAGCACAACAACTCCCAGTGTAAGTAGTCTTTTCTCAACTACTCTTTGCTCTGCCTTGCCTAGGGAAGTTCAGTTTGCTCTTCTTTCTAAAAGCATGAAATAAAAATAGATACAATTTTCTCTAATAAAATAGGAGCTTTGAGGTGTCCCTGTCTGCTGTGAAATTTGCTTCTGTCTTAATTGTAAGTGGAAACAATGTGGTGATAATGTTTTCATAGGCACAATGAGCATTTTCTTTCAAAGCTATTAAAGATCTCTAAAGACCTAATAAAAGGCTTGCGTATTGTGTCACTTAATCCTTTACTGTGGTGAGAAATAAAGATTGGAAGGTAAGTGCATCTTAATATTCAGGACTCTCAGTTGTTCTATCACAATCTAACTATGTGTTTAAATATGTGTTTCCTCATGTATATAAATGTAAACAGGCTGACTGTTGCTCAAGTTTGGGTTTGTTGCTTTAATTAGAATCACAAATTGGTTTGGGTTGGAAGGACCTTAAAGACCATCTAGTTCCAGCCCCCCTGCCATGGCCAGGGACAATTAAAAACTCCACTGCTGAGTGCTCATAATAAAACAATCTACTGTTAGAAGAGAGACATATCATGGCAGATGGCAGATGGTCTCTTGTCTCTGTGTTTGAATGTCACCATGAAAATTATTCTTGTTTGTACATTGCAGTGTTAAGAAAGAAATCCCAGGTACTGGATCAAAGAGGATTTGCTGTCCTGGATTATGAATAAGAGGGTTTATCCCTCTGGTTCTGCTCTCATCCATGTTCTTATATAAGCACATATGGTAATTTATACATATGGAAATGGCCATGGAAGGGGCAGCTTATACAAATTTACTATTACATGATTTATATTTGTTTTCCTGGAATTTTAATAGCTTTTTCCACTAAAATTGCAGTCTGCAGAATGTTCCATCATCATTAGAGTGTGCGAAAGGGATGCTGTTCTTGGAGGTAATGGTAGGATTTGTTACCAAACCTCCTGAATATAATGCAGGAAGAACAGAGAAATGGATGGCTGTGTGTCAAGGCACTGCTTTTTTAATAAACTGCTATGAGGCAATCTGTAAAATCCACTGGGAGTGTAATCCCATGGATTTTGGTGGAAGTGCAGCAGTTTATACTTATTAAAGAAATGTCTCATTATCCTTAAGGTGAAAGAATAGCAGGCAGTTCTGCCTAGTTCTGTAATTTGTCATGAGGAAGTTTTGTCTGAGAAGTATAAACCCCCAAAATATAATTAGCTAACAATTTTCTTCCTGCTAGTGTAAGTCCAGAGCCAGATTTCTGTGTGGATTTTTGTAATAATTCTTACTCCCTTTTCCCCCCTCAAATGGCACCTAAGCCAGAGGTGCCCAAGTGCTTCCTGAAAAAATAGGCAAAGAATTAAGTCAGGCCAGTACTTTTGTATGTTTGAGCTTTAGAACTTGAGTCTAGAAGGAGAAAAAATATGTTTGAAGGAGGCTGTAAAAGTCTGATGACATCATTGCCATAGATTCCTCGATTCACTGAATTACAGGGAAGGTCTCAGAGGATGCTTCATCTTGCCTTTATTTACTTCAGATGAGATCTGCAAAAAAGGAGGTCATTTTTAGTCTGCAAGAAGGGAAGAAGTGTAAGAAAGGGCAGCCAGTTCTTTTCAAAGTTGTCTGCAATAGTCAGACATTTTAGAAGTACTTGCTACAGTCTTGAAATTGCATCGTTACTCGTTGCTGTCAAAACTTTCTTTGTAAGATCCAATATAATGTCTGTGGTGTGTCTTCACAAATCTGTGAGTGGAATCAATACTTTAATGCATTAAGGTCTTAGTTGCTCTCCAGTTTGTTCATTTTCTTCTTCAAGTGGTTGCCTAGTGTGTGTTCCTCCTGTGCATATGCTCATGTCTGTTCTCTTGAGCTGGAGCTTTGTCAGTGCTGGATTACCACTTGATTGACTGTAGGGCTGCAGCAGCTTTCTTACAGCACAATTAGTTCTATAGAAGAACTTTTTTCTTCTCATTCTTGACTTCTTTCCTATTGCTCCTTCTTTTTCACACTTCTGCGAGAGATCAGGCAGAAGCAATTTCAAGTCCTTTATCCAGGGGTAATTCTCAGAAAAGTGCCTCTGGTTTTATGCTTTGTCCTTCGTGCATAAATATCCCTGAAATGGCCAGAAATTGCATTCTTCTTGTCCAACTGGGAGGCACTATCCCAGCAGGCACTCTGAGGGCTGAAGGTGCAAGCTGGGGAGGAACACCAAGAGAAACTGTAGAATTACTTCCACAAAATCTATCTTTTTTTTTCCTTTCTGACACTGATCACACCTCCCTGCTTGTTCTGAGACATTGTGCCATTTTAATCACTCTTCCAGGAGGAAAAAAAAAACCCTGCCTTGGATGAAGCATTGGGTATTTGTTTAGAGGGTGGAATTACCCATGTGGAAGGGACTTTTCCAGCCTCCTCATGCTCCAGGAGAGCGGAGCAGTGGTACCAGGGAAGCTAAACCGTGGTGCCAGTCTTTCCCACCAGAACTGATCACTAAGCAACTGAAAAGCTCAGAAGAGGGGTGGGAGGGAATGAAAAAGAGCAGTTCTTAGTCTTGTGCCTGCATATGTTTGTTCTCGGAGTCTCTGAGATCTGTTCATGTTTTTCCTCCCTGAGGCTCAGTCTGCTTTAGGATTTTGGTGCAAAAGATTTTCATTAGCTCTTTTCCTGGTTCTTCCTGAATAGATGGTTTTCCTGAGCTATCAGCTGTTACTAATGCCTGCCCCAGTTCAGTCTGTCTCTATTGTCCTACAAATATCCGTAGCTTTGCCTGGTTCATCTGGATACACTTCAGACACCTCTTTTGCTTCCTAAAATACCTGTCTCAGACATTCCAAAGCATCAGAGAACAGGAAGTCTTTTCCCACTGACTGAAATAGTAATTTTGAAGTGACTGGCCCTTTTCTGGGCTTGGCTGTCCCTCTTTCAGGGAGAATGACCTCCACCCTCTCATTTTTGTTATGTTTTCTGTCCTTCTCTGGTACTGGTGAGTGGAGTGGGATTAATTTCAAAACAAGTTGCTCTTAAGGTTGCTGATTTTAATTTAAAAAGGTGAGATTGACAAATGCTTTTCAAATGAACATGTGTATTCCTGTGGTCCCATGCAGTTTCTATCTGTTTCCAGGTAAAAATGCAGAACTAAGAGCTGAGTGTTCCTAACAGCAGTAGAGGCTGGGATATTATGTAGAAATGTTGCAGTTATCCCAAATTCAGCTGTGAATATCCGAAATCTCCAGCATTTAAGGAGGACGTTGGCAGTCCCGACATACAGAAATTTAAAAAATAACATTACTGGGGCATCCTGATAGTATTTCTCTTCCCCATCATAATTTCAGGCAAAGCCACGCAGGTAGCTTTTTATAGATATAATTATTGAAGTGTTGTGATCCCCAGTTAGAGCAATCTATCAGTGTCCTCATTCAAGGGGAAAAAATATCACGTTTTATGGCCAAATGCATCAGTACAGGCTTATAGCACTTTATGAGACTCGTGGAGTTCCACAGGCAGCCGTGCCATAATGGCCAATTAAACTGGGTTTACAGCTGTTCTTTGAGAAGTTACTGAAGGTTATCTTTCCCTAACAGGAATGTGTCTCACATACCTACACCTGCTTCCCTCCCTCAGCTGTAGCTTTCTTGTTATCCCTGCATCTTCTGCTTTTCCTGTGGGTAGGTCCATATTACATTTTTTGCCTCATACATGGTATTATTTGGAAAACAACACAATAGACACTATAAAGGCTTGTAAGCTTTAAACAAGTGTCTTCAGGAGTGAAGAGCCAGAGGCATTTGTATTTGTAAGGGAAGGAGTAACTGGTTTAGGCTGGAAGCAGAGGAAAATTTACATCAGTATTCAAGCAGAACTGACATCCAGGAGATGAACAAGAGGGATGAAACTGAAACTTCTTACTTTCATGCAAAGCTTCTTAGTTTTCATGAAAAGAAGGAAAGAACAGAGAGTCTTTTAAAGGCTCCACGAGATGGACACGTTACTGAAAGTTAGAGAACAGAAAGGAGATGGATTTTGTCTCATCTTCTATATTTTCTTTGAAGATAATGGTATTTTTGTCAAGGAGGAGAAAGGGTTAGATCGAAATGGTGAAGAGAATAGAAAGAACATTAGTTCCAACTTCAATGGAATGAAAAAATCAGGTATTGGTGGGTGCCACAGAGAAGGAGAACATAGAGATAAAGTTGTGAGTGGCAGAATTGTGTCTCAGATAAAGGCCTTCTATTTAAAAGTCTAGTTAAGTGTTGGGATAGGCTATCAAGGCAGATTAGTTGAAAACTGTTAAAAACAGATTTCTTCTCAATGGTGTAGGTTATTTTACATTCTTCAGTGGAAAAAGATGGACTGGATGATTTTTTTTGCTGTCCTTTCCAGCTCTGTTATTTCTTTGTAACTCTTTTTAACTCCAGTGGCTTTGATCTGGGTGGTTGTTCACTGTGGAACATGTCGTGAATCTTCCAGATGCTGAAACAAAATGTGCCTCTGGAATTTATATGCTGATCAAATAGAATTATACTTAATCTAGGCTTCTTCCCTCAAGCTTTTCTAAATAATCAAGCCTTGCCAGACGAAATGGCTCATAGTAGTGTCTAGCAGGGCTTTCAGTCCTTTTAAATAAAATCTTAAATATTCCACAGTTGTTTGAGCTTTAGATTAAAAGGTAGTCAAAAGCATGTAACTGACACAGGGTTTAATTGTTTTTGTCTGTCTATTGATTAATTGTTCAAATGTCAGAGTCCCAGAACAGTGATATCTAATGCTTGAAAGCTTAATTGAAATTTTTAATACTTTTATTTTTGTAGGACCTCGATGTTGGAGCAAAGAAGGTGAAGTTATATGTTGATGAGAACCTTGTATTTGAGGGTGAATTAGAGAGAGCCTCTGGAGATCTCTTTGCTGACCATAACACTACAATTGACCTTACAGATCACAAGCAAGATACCTCTGCATCTCCCTCAGGTGAAAGGGAAGAAGTAAATGCACCTGCAGTCACAGATGAGAGAGCAGACCTACATTTTAAATGCTCAGAGTCAAGCAGTACTTCACTAAACTGGAAATCCCTGCCAGAAGAAAATCTTCTTAAGCATAAAATGAACTCAATCAGCTTTACAAAGAAAAATTTGCCTGAGTTAGAGGATGATCTAAAAGCATTCCCATCTCAAGTTTGTATAAAAGATGCCAGAGAGAATTCAGCAGCAGCAGCAGTTGCAGAGCACGTTCAGTCTGATGATGAACTTTCTCTGAGCGAACAAATGGAAAAGTTGACAGGGAGGAAACTGTCTGATTCCACAGGTGCACTTCCACCTTGGTTACAGTCATCTTCCCAAGTAACTGAGAACAGTCATGTTACTCCCAGTAAGCAGAAGCCTTCCTGGCTTGCTACAGAACGTAGTTTAAGCTCGAGATTTCAAACACAGTCAGATGGAATCATGAAAAACTTCTCAGACCTGACAAATGAGGATGTCAAATGTCAGAGAAATGAACTGGGAAGACCCAGCAGTAGGAATGCAAATGGAGATGAGAGGTCACTAGTGCTGACCAGAAAGGATGGTGATGTGGGCTTGGACATTTTGGAGCAGCTTTCTAACAGGAATTGCTGCAGCTCACAGTACCCTACGAGTGGAAGGAGAAGTGTCAGATGTGGTAAAAAGCTGGGATTAAACACTATAAATCTTGGAGAAGAGGATTCTGCCCACAAAGGTAAGAGGTCACAATAGCAACCTCAGTGCAGGTGCTGACATGTTCTCCATTTTGCAGCAGCACAAACTCATTTAAGTGGAAGGGACCTCCTGAGATTCCTGGAGGTGTAGACAGGGGGATTTTAGTTTTGCTATTTGTGGTATTTTCCTCATTCATACTCTGATAATACTCAAAGTGTCTCTCCTTGTCCCACACCTGATGTGAAATACTCTTCTGAAAAAAATTTACATTCTGATTTAGTGGGTTTTAATTTATTTGGAGCAGATGGAAGACTAAATTCCAGTAGATTATATTCCAAGAATTGACAGTTCCTGCAGACAGCAAATGTTTGCTAATATCAATTAAAATCTGCAAAAAGATAAAGAAGAGTGTGTCCTCAAGTTAGTGAGTAAATTTACAGAATTTATTTGTTTAGTAGGTTTGTGTCTTTCTCAGTGAGAATATATTCTGAATATATTTATTCAGAGTGAATGGAAAACTGCCCTTCTTTTCCCTTCTCTGCTCATGACTTTACAAACTTCACCATCAGACATCTTGTTTATTTATGAAGAGTTCTCTAGTAAATTTAGCTGTTATCTGCTCTGTGCCTTTTGATTATCCTTGTCATCTTTCTCCAAGCCTTTATAAGTTCCCCTGGATCCCGTTGGAGGTGGAGGATCCAGATTTGTGTGGTTGTGTTGGCAGTAGCCCAGGGAAGGGTATGAGAACTGGGCAACTTCTGAAGTTCCTGCTCTCTCCCAATCTCTGGTAATCCATGGCTAAGAAATTTTCTGGGTCTGGGGTAATATTTTTGTGTTTAACACCAGAAGAATAGAATTTCTTACCCACAGGTTCTACTTTGTCTCTCTTTTAACCAACTTTGCAGGATTTAATTTTAGTGTCACCTTTTCAGTTTCAAGCCATGTCACTCTGATTCCTGGGTTTTTGGGCTCTTCTTACCCTTCTTTGGCATTCTGTAATTCTTCAGCATTCAATATCTTGTCTCAAATGAAGAGAGTCTGGCAGAACAAGGACAACAGGACCCAGGGAATTGGAATAAGATGGTATAAAACTACAAATGGAAATTATGGTTGTGATTTAGCATCAAAACAATTTGCATGAAAGTGTAGCTTGCTGGGTATTGAATTTGAGTGTTTACATTAAAGTAATGGTCATTAGGGACAGGAAATGTAACTAAATGCATTTGAAGTGCCAGTTCAAATTCTGCAGCAGGTGCTGCATGATTTTTTTCAGACAAAGGCGAGAAAATGCTTCTTTCTAAACTTAGGATGTCTGGATTTTTTGTTCTCTGACCCTCTGTGAAGAAAACAGCAATTTCATCAGTACATCTGAAGTTATACCTCAAAGAGGAGAAAAACAGGGAAGTATTTGGCATAACTGCCATCTTCCCTTCAGCCACCCACTCACCACAGCCCTTTTGCTGTTTCACACATTTTACACTATCTTTGTTAGATTAAAACCTTAAAATTATGGAAACTGTAAATAAATCTCACCTTGGGAATTTCAGTTCAGTTCTAAAAATGGAAATAATGTTGGAGTTTTAATGTAAGGTGTAAGATGAAGGTTATCATGGATCTATACAGTGTCCTCTAATTTTGCTCAGAGCAGGTTATTTCATGTGGTGCTTAAAGCTCCCGATATGTTTTTGTCCCTGGGAAAATTGCAGCCATCCAGCAGCTTTTGTTCTCTCTCTGCTGTGCTGTGCAGGGTAAAACCATCTTCAAAGTGGAGCTGAGTGAGCTTTAACAACAGGGAAACGGTTTTAAGTGTTTCCCTGAGAGTGGTGGATTTTAATTGGCACAGGGCTGAGGGAAGTGCAGCTTCCCAATGGAAGTGTGTGACAAAGGGAAGGCTGCAGAGCCCCCTACCAGTGTCACAGCATAGCTTTGGTCACTCAGTGAAGAATAATAAGAACAACAGAAATTAGAAATAGCACGTACATGCTTGCCTCGAGTTAATGTTGCTATAAAAACATCAATTTTTCTTTGATAACCGGTTTAATGTGCAAAGGAAATGATGGGAGTCTGCTGATAAAATTAGCAAATAACATATAATTTGGGTTATTATGAGTTAAGAAGATTGAAGAACTCGCAGAAGGATGAGCTTGAGGACTGAAGCAGTGGAATGCAATTCCATAGTACCGCTTTGCAGGCTCCCTTGGGGACTAATAACCAAAAATGAAGTTGTAAGCTGAGTAATCATCAACTGCAAATGACCGAGGAAGGGAAGGATCATGGTTGAGTAGCTGATGGCAGATTGAGCGTGAAAGGCTGGTGTGACGCAGGGTGATTGGAGCAGAGCACTCCCAGGATGGATCAGCACAGGCTTTTGGGAGAGTTAGGGAAATGTTAATATCTCGGCACAGCCACTTGTGAGACGTCAGTTGGAAAACTGCAGCTCTGATCATCCATTTTCAGGAAAGCTGATTACAAAGTGGAACAGATACAGAAGAGAGCTTTTAGGATGATTTGGGAAATGAAGCATGTGATTGCAGCATGGAAATATGATTGCTATTTATAACTGCAGGGAGTAGAAAAGAGATTAACACAACAGAGGGAGAAGAAAGGTGTTTTCTTCAAGGTAGTCTTGGCCCAAAATGTAGTTTAGGAAAGTTTTGAGAGGAATTGTATGGGCTGTGTTGCCATCAGAAGCAGGATGGGGACTTGGTGGTTGAAGACACCAGACACCCATCCTAAACCCACAGGGGAGTTGGAAGTTTGAAGTGTCATTATAAAATATTACATTTTAAATTCTTAAAAAAACCCCCAAAATAGCTTCAGCCCCTGGGCTCTGCTTTTGGGTCTCTCTGCTTCCCTTTCAGAGCTTCACTTCTCCTGTTGTCACTCCTTAATGCAGCTAACAAACCTGTTAACCTCCCATTGAACTGCCTCAGAAGTGCTTTAGGATTGTAATCTCTGGGCTGTTTGAAGTACTTGACGTTTAAAAAAAAATTAACAAGAGAAGGGAAAAACTCTCCCAAACAAGGCAAGTCAATGGATGTCAAATACTTTTCTCATCCTATTCTGCTCATCCTGAAATTTTCAAGCTTTGACATTTTAAAATGATAAAGATATATACAGTGTCTTCTCCAGGTAAACTGTGAGGCTCTGGGATATATTGTTTGGGATCACCCACCTCTGGAGTGTCTGTACTGACAGTGGGGACTTACAAGAAGGGGACTTAGAAATGACTGATGTTCTCTGAAATATGAAATTTTTCTTCATATCTGCATTTCCCTTGTGGGGTAGGGAGGAAGGGTCAGGTTAGACTCTAGGGTTTCATTCTGGAAGGCAACCCTTTTCCAAGTAGTTTCCCATCTGCTTTGAAATTCTTATTTTTGTCTCAGGTGTCCCCACTGTAAATGATTATTTGCCATAGATAGATTAGGAACATTACCTCTTTCCAGTGTTTCCAGAAACACAGTTAAAAGTCAGTTGGGAGCAGTCTTTTGGGAAAACATTATTTTGCATTTTACAGCAATTGGCATTTATTCTTGATAACCATTTGTTTTAGTGTCCACCCAAGGACATTGTGCAGAAGTAAAATCTGGCCCATGGGCCTGTAATTGTTTAGAACTCCACTTCCTCTTCTTCATTTATTTGAAGAAAATACATAAGTGACTGGTTTATTGAAAATCTTTGTTATTATCTGTTCTTAATTGTTTTGAGATGGAAATTAAGCAGCTCCCCAGTGCAGCCACAGGAAGAACATGCTTTGCTCCCACCGTGTCCCTCTGATTTGTTGTCCTCACTGCATTCCCATTACATACTTTGTCATTGTACATCTCACACTTGCTGAAAAGTGAGAAAAATATTTGGACATCACCTGCACAGAGTGCAACATTCACCTCATCCTCCTTATGCTGAACCTACTTTTCTCACCACTTTTCTTTATATCCACGTGGCTGATTTTGAGAGGAAGCACCAGCTTTTCTCTGTAATGCTTTACATTAACCAGTTCAGCCACTTCCAGCTGTATAAAAGATCTGCAGAAGTGCAGATAGATGATTTAAACTGTTGTGACAGCCACACAATAAGTATCACTGGGCAAAATCCCAATTTCTTTGAGGGTTGAGTCAAGAATTCGCAGCCTAAGAGTTGCAGTTGGGATCATGGCACGTGCTCTGCTCTTGTAATAGTTAAAAGTGATTGTTTTCATTATGTCTAAATGGGGAAGAGAAACTGGGACATGGAGCCTTCATAACAGGGAGGCAATATAAAAGTGCTGCTGGAGGAGAATTTCACAGTAAGGGACACGAATAAGACCAGCATCGTTCTGCAGAGTCCCTGTCGTAGCGGTTTGTTCCCAGTCCTGCTTCTACATTAAATGCCTTTGTAATGTTGTTTTCAGATGAAGACTTTTCCATCAAGGACGTAGCAGCCTCCAGAGCGAAGTGGTGCAGTGAACAAGAACACACTCTGCAGGAGTCCTGGAACTCCTTGGTGAAATTTAATTATTCCCATCGCGGCCGGATCTCCAACATGGATTTTCAAGGGGATATCTTTGATGAGTTCCTCCACCAACAGAAACTCAACCGCTCCGGAGAATGTCAGCAAGTGAGGAAAGAGGGACTGCAAACGCTACCCAAGAGGCAGGAGGAAGAAAGTGCTGTGGAGGCACATGATGGAAATGATTTTAAAATTCCCGTTTTACCTTATGGGCAGCACTTAGTGATAGACATTCGAACAACGTGGGGAGACAGACATTATGTTGGTCTTAATGGAATTGAAGTTTTCAGTTCTAAAGGAGACCCTGTTCAGATTGCAAAAATAACAGCTGAACCACCTGATATAAATATTTTACCAGCTTATGGGAATGATCCCAGAATAATAACCAACCTAATTGATGGGGTAAATCGGACACAGGATGATATGCATCTCTGGCTGGCACCATTTACCCCTGGAAAACCTCACTTTATCTTTATTGACTTTGTGAATCCCTGTCAGGTAGCTATGATTAGGATTTGGAATTACAATAAATCTCGAATCCACTCTTTCAGAGGTGTGAAAGACATTATCATGCTGTTAGATGAACAATGCATCTTTAAAGGAGAAATTGCCAAGGCCTCAGGAACATTGTCTGGAGGTATTCTATCATTTCTTATTTTCTTTGTGGGAACAGCAGTACAATGCAAACAAATGCATTTCACTTGTTTGTTATCTCCTTCCACTTCAAAGCAAGCTGGCACTTTGTCTAGTATTGAATTTAAAAACATAATGCAAAGCCCACTAATGCATTCTTCACTGATACTGTGGATTTAACAGCACACAGAGCTAATCTCCATTCTCAACCATGTCTTAGTATCAGGTCTGTATTTCAATAATATCAGATGGTCACGAGAAATTTAAAAATTTCAGCTTTTTACTTTTTTTCACATGTAATATCTTTTGCAAAAGATGATGGAGAAGCTTTTTTCCCCACTGTCTTTCCTATGTATTCAAAATTTGACTGAATTCTCTAGTTTTTTCTGCTGTGCAGTGTAAGTTTGAGAATGAAATACTGATTATAACAGTATCAGTATCAATTTACCAGAAATTAATAATTCAATATAGCAATCAGTATCAATTTGCCATAAATTATTTTTAAACAAATTTTTGCAAATTAAATGTGAAGAAGGACCAAAAATAATTTTTATCACTCTCTGTATTCTTTTGTATTATTTATCCATTTAATTCTGTGTGTTGCCTTCAGCTCCAGAGCACTTTGGGGACACTATATTGTTCACTACTGATGATGATATTCTTGAAGCTATATACTGCTATGATGAGACTTATGATGGAGAAATGGAAAATGCCAGCTCCTTGAGATATGAGGAAGAGCTAAAGAGGCCAACAACTGCTGACAGGGAGGGAGATGAAAGACCTTTTACACAAGCAGGTTTGAGAACAGAAAACCAACAGGTAGGGCCTTCTCTGTTCAGAACTCTCCATAAATGTCTTTCTGAAACATGACATGGAAGTAACAGACACATTTCCATGGTGAGGTAAAACTCTGCAGAAGAACTAATACAATTAGGACTATTTTGAAGATTTTTTTTTTTCACCAGCTCAATAATTTAAGTGATATTTTAAATCCCTAAAGGTCCTCCAAATTTTGGTTTCCCTGACTCATTAATAAGCCTACAAGGAAAGCTATACTAGATTTTTTTTTTCTTTACTTACTTGGACAGAGATTATAGGGAGTTCTTTTTGATTTAGGTACTCCTGAAGGTTTATGCACTGGCAGTGATACATACAGTTATTCATATAATGAGTAGCTGTCGTCCTTGTCACTCCAAACCAAAGATTTTTCCATATTTTCCACACAGATTATACTCTTGCTGGTTTCTTCCTCCACAAATTAAGTATCTTAAATGAAAAGGATCTCTTCCTGTCCACCCTCCTCTTATTTTCCCTCTCTGTATTTTTTTGGTTAGCATCTCCACAGATTTGTCTGCATGTTGCAGCACAAAAAATGCCTCTTTTCCATGTAGTTGGTATTTTACTCCTTGAAGGAAAGATGTATTTTCAAGCACTGGGGTCTTGCCTTATACCATTCCAGCCCAGTGTCTGAGCAAAGGTCCTGCAACATTTTCTCCTCATGATGGTGTGGGACAGACTTTGACCTGATTTCCTTAAATATTCTACCTTCTCAGAATCTTCTTGAGCACCTACTGTTGCATGAGTGAGGTTCTCTTTTTTCTGGGGGCCACACTTGTGGGTCTGTGAGGAGATCCAAATTCCAGCTGGTTCAGCTGAACTGCTCCCAGGGATATGTGGTTCCTAATGAGCCTTATGTGGTTTTCAAGCCTTCCCATTCTGTCTTGTCCTCTTTTTCTTGTGGCTTACAGGACAAAGGGAAACACAGTGACATTGGAATTTGATGTCACCGTTAGAATCATGAGTCAGTGTCTCTAACACTTGGACTTCTTCATTAATTTTGGTCCCATCTTTGCTTGTGATGTCTTAAACTGTTCAGACACCTTTTGCAGTGCAGGATTTCATGAACACAAATTGAAGTTCACCTTTCTTTTCTTGATCACTTGTTTATTGTGAGCATTCATCAGGACCTCTTCCATGGCAGAAGCCTGGGCCTGTCTGGCCCTTACTCAGTGTCTCTGCCTTTCATTTTGCTGTGATGCCCTTCATCCCCCTGTTCTAACTCTGAAATGTGCTGCATCAGCAGTGGAATAACAAATGCTGTTGTGACTGAGCCATTGATCTCCCTGTCACTGTATATTTGCTGATTTTTTGTGGAGGGATGCTTATGCTACCAGAATGATACAGATCTGCTGGGCAATTTGTCTTCCCCAGCACAACGTTGTCAGACCAGTGTTGGGTTTGAACAGTGTCTGCTGTTGATCATTCCCTGTTCAGTAGGTGAAATGCTGCTTTACTGCACTGCCTACAAAACTTTTCAAAAGCTCTTACAGAAGTGTCTTACTTTCGTGTCGGTGTTATCCGTGGTCATCTGTCTGTCCCACGAGTTCAGGAACCTTTAACATGTTGACTTTTCCAGCAGATTAGACCTGTACCAAGTGCACTTGATTCAGCTCTGTGGGTGCTCAGGGAGAATGTAAGAATAGCACAGAAATGCGGTGGTGTTTCTCTAAAACACTCATCCAGCCCTTAGAAGTGTGTCTCACAAGGACTTCTTCACTTAACCTTTGTGTTTAGTATCCTGCTGCAGATTTTTGTTGCATTAATTCATCTCCTAGCTTTCTGAACCCATGTGCACTTTTACAATTTACAGTGCTCTGTGGCAACTTTCCCAGCAAAGAACCTCTTTCTGTTAGTCTCTAGGTTCCTTTAATGTCCTCTAGTTTTTGTGTTGGAAGAAACTAAACAATTATTCCCCATCCTCTTCTTCGAGCCACTGAAGAGATTTATACCACTGTGTTACAGTCTTCTAAATCTTTTTTTCCAGAATGGTTAGTTCACCTTTAGTTATTCTCACAAGGATGGTGCTATACAGTATGGTCAGGGGGAGGACCATGGTAATACTTCCTGCTTTTTATTGCTTTTCCAATAGCTCCTGTACTGTGGTGCTGTTTTGTTTTAGCCATAAGAATCTAACAGCACAGGTAGGACAATGCTCACAAGCAGAAATAGTTGGAATAGCAGAAAGTTAGAGCATGTCTGAAAGAAAATATAGTGGGCACCAGTGGAATAAGCGATCTGAGTAGACAAGAAAGGGAGAAAAGAGGTGATAATGTGGCTGGCACAGATGGTTTATGGTTTACAAGGGAGGGCATTATTTTGCAATCTATAAAACCAGTAACTTTGTTATGCCCATGGGTTTTGATTTTCAGTAAAGTTACAAATTTGAATTCCCAGGCTGGTCTTTTAAAGTTGTTCTAAGGAAGAGGCATCAGATATCAAAGACAGAGTCACTGTTTTGCATGAAAAGCCCCCAACAGGAAGAGTTTTCCACCTTCTGTAGCTTCCTTGTGTGTGGGTATTTATTTCAGTGCACAAGTCTTGTCCCGTTTCACCTGAATTACCTTAATTACCACAGGGACATTTGCTGCCACATGAAGGATATTGCAGTCTGGGAAGAGACATCTGACATCCAGGATGTCAGTGGTTATACTGCAGAGATCTGATGGAACAGTAGGAGAACAGTGATGACAAGTCTTTTATTTATTTTTAGGCACAATGGAGGTCCATTTGATGTATTCTGGATGACAGGAAGTTTACTTCTAATGATAAATTAAACTATAGAGAAGTCTGGACTTCTAATTTCCTGTTTGGCTTTTTGACTACTAATGAGGATTGAGCTGATGTTTTTATAGAGCTACTCATAAAAATGCCAAGATGTCATTCTAATCTGCTTTATTAATTTTGGAGCCCAATACTGGTATATGTAAAGTTAGGATTGTTTTCCTCCAGTGTAGCATTTTTCCATTTACCCACAGTGAACAGAATCAGCCATTTTATCACACTCAACTCAATGAAATGAACTTTATCTCCAACCCACTGCCATTTTTCTTTGTCTTTATTACCCTGATTGCCCCAGTATGATCAGCAGGTTTTGCCATCTGTTTATTCCCTCTCTGGTTTGCTGTGCTGAATAGCACAGGCTCTTTTTCATTAGTGTTGTCAGAGAACAAGCACAAACTTTTGGGCAAGTTTGCTTGTTTGTTCTGCCTCTTAGTTCTTGAGAAGGAATTGTGGTGCACTCTCTGGTCTTGACTTCCTTCCAGACTTCTTGTCTCTGCAATGCATTTGCAACATATTGCAAATACAGCATATTATCATTTGCTAATGGCAATCTGCAGGTAAATAAGAATGACTTAAGAATTTCAGCCTCTTTGAGAATAGGTATTTCACAGTACAGAGTCTCCCATTCAACATTTCTGTATGAACTAACCAAGAGACCTCACCCTAACAGTCTTGATTTTCTAAGGATCCATATGATCTTTTACATTTTGGGACATGTTTTCCATTATTAGCAGGACAGCCAGGGTGGGGAGGCAAAGGGGAGATGGATATATAAAAGGCTGGATGTAGTAAAAACCAAAGGAACAGACATAAAAACTCTAGAAACAACGCCTGTAATGTATGTATAATGTTGCACCTGTTGACTTTCTTTTTAGGTTCTAGAGCCAGACTCTTTCTCTGAATGTACACCTAAGGAGACAGGAATATTTACTGGAAAATGTAAGTTCTTACACTTCTTCCTTAACCACCTTGTGGCCAAACATGTTATCAAGGAGGACCTGATTTGTCAGAGCTGAACAGAACTTTGTGACAGATGTCAGGTCTAGAATAAAGAAGAGAAATTGAATATTTAAGGCAGAAGCTTTGTTTACTATGGCATTTACAACATTATATCGTAACAGTTGGCTTTTAATCTCAGAAAAATAACATTAGCCATTTGCCTAGTCCCTGAATGGGATTTCTAATAGCTGTGGCCCTTACCCAGTAATTCTCTCCCAATCCTGTGTATTTCTGTAGACTGACTGAATTTTTCAGATTGGATTGACAGTAGAAACCCCACAGTAGAGCTGGATCAGAATGTTATATCCATGCTTAAAGTACCTGTTTCCTTTATCCTGTACAAACCCAACTCTCTGTGGGGTCCAGGGAGCTTCTGGATGGCCCAAAAGCTTCAGGATCAGCTCCTGGTCCTTTGACAAGAATTTCCAGTGGGGTGTTAGGAAATCTTTTTCACCCTGGGGACAGTCAGACACAGGAATAGGGATTGAGAGAGGGTCTGAAATCTGCCAGCCTTGGAGACATGTAGACTTCCATGGGATAAATTCCTTGGAGACCTGATCTAATGGACATGCCCTGAGCTTGGAGGTGGATTAGACACCTCCAGAGGTCCTTTTCCCCCTGCAGCATCCTCAGATTCTCTGAAGGCATTGCCATGGTGAAGTGAACACTAAACCCTGTGCGAATGGCTGCTCCTCCCTGGCTTTTCCATGGGAAAATATATTCTGATTTTTCCTGAGATGTATTAAAAAAAAAACTTGCTTGTAAAAGCAAGTAAAAAAACATGCCTGAACCTTGAGCAATTTTAGTTTTAGCAATGGTCTTGGGAATAGCATCTAATATCAATGTAGCCAAATTTGTCAGCTAACAGAACTATTTATTTCTTTGTGTCCTTGCAAATGCTAATGAGATCTTACACCCAAGGGAATTTATGTGTATATCAAGACTTGCTATAGCTATTTAAAGGTATTTGGGCAGGATGGCTTAATAGGTTTAATGCTTGTTTGTTTTTCAGGACACCATGACTACTGGTGCTTCTTTAGACACTATCCAACCTGATTAGTTGTGGATTTCTGTAGTGTGGGAAATGAAAGATATCTTTAATTTACAGTGATGGATTTTTTTGTGGAACCTGATCAGACTGAAATATTACTTGTTATATCTGTGTATGCTATTTCTGTTTTTTTTTCAGTAAGGCATAAAACAGGTGGATCTGAGGATACATATACAACCTTTTGTTTGTTCAGTTTTTCTTTCCTATTTATTTTCCAGAGATGCAGGCTAATCATTAATTAATAATATTAATATTGCTGCTTTTCACTGATGCTGTCCCATTAAAATACTTCCATGTGTCCAGTTCTGATGTGAAGGTAGTATCTTAAAAACATCAGCAAAGCAAATTTGTGTTTTGCTTTATCTCTGAGCTGGTGTTCTCCAACAATTTATGGGATTATGAGAGGCTGGATTTATAGGAACATATATAGTCATTTAGCTGGTGAAAGATGATGGATAGACTTCAGACCAATCTGTCTTCTCTGTGTCTGCATAATCACAAAATCTGTCATGTAACTGCTTAAATGTGTCACTGAGTTGCTGTCAGTCTGCAATCACAGTAATGAGACACTTGGTAATGTGCTTGATCAGGAGCTGGGTGGTTAAAAGTGAACGAGGTGTTGGCAGCCCACTACAGGGCTAATACAGGCCAGGAAATATCCAAATCCAGCAAATAAAGTGATTTAATCTCTACAAAAATATACATGCTGCTAACCATTGGGACTTGCATGCATGTTTATATTGGCTCCTTCCTTCAAACTAGATAAATTATATGCATGTTCTTTTATAAAGGCCTGCAGCTGAATTTTACCATGACCTGGGGAGACTCCCATTACCTCGGACTGACAGGACTTGAAGTGATAGGAAAGAATGGTCAAGCACTAAAAATCAGCACAGAACAGATTTCTGCTTCACCCCAAGACTTAAATGATCTTCCAGAGTACACAGGAGATTCCAGAACGTTGGAAAAGTAAGTAAAGGAAAGACTTGGATGCATTTTACATCAGATTTGATAAAGTGACAGAATTATATAAGCTTCTATTATGCTAACACATGGTAATGCAAATATGATTTTCATCCCATCACTGCTCATTCTTGGAATTCACAAGCTGCCCAGGAACAGCTTGTTGTAGAAACATGAATGAGATGTTTCCAAAAGTTGGTGTTTGAGTTAGGAGATGGTAACAGGCCTGGTTGGTATTTCTGCCAAGGACTTTCCAGGAAGATATGTGGGTGTTCTGAAGCATCTGTCTGTGCATATTCACTGATATTTATGCAGGATTTCTGGACAACTTCAAGGAAAATTTTCAACTTAGCAAACAGTGAGGATGTATTTGGGAATTGCACAGATAGGTGCCATTCTTTTGGCAATTTTTGCAGCTTTTTTTTTTTGTAATTTTAATGAAGTTTTATTCATTGACAAGTATATTTCCTCAAATTAACTTGTACTTCCTAAATGGCAGCAGTATAGAAATCACAAGCTGTAGATCTGGAGAGGACTTGGCATTTGGTTGTTATTGAAGCTGCATCCTGTTGTTTCTGAGTCATATCTCCATTTTAAAGGGTATTTTCAGTTGCAGTCCTCTGCTCTGGCATGTTTATGGTCTGTGACTGGGTTTATGAATTAGGACTTTTCAAAGTCTCTGTAGAGTCTTCCTTAGAATTTTGTATTTATTTATATTTATTTACATGTGCACTAACTCTGTTATTTGTAATTTCTGCTAATCTGACTAATGCAGATATCAAATTTACTTGTATATAATTACTTGTTTCTTCTGCCTATTTGTGTGAAAATCTCATCTGTAGGCACTAAGATCTAAGAAATTTTCCCTGATGTATTTTAGGAATTTTATTTATGGTGCCTTTTCCTTGCCAGCTTTCCTACTGTTTTTTGGCCTGTGCACACACATTTAACCTTCCAGAGTTTACAATCCTATCAATTTAGGGGTTTTTTGATCATTAATTTTGTTGAAAGATGGCTTTTAATAAATTTGTTTATCCTGCTACTGAGCCAGGCTGCCTTTGAGTTTTCAAGTCCTCCCCCTTTCTGATGTCTTTCTTAGTAAGCGAGATACATTTTTAAATCTTTCTTTTACATACTGGATTGTTTTGCTTAAGAACTTCTTTGGGCACAAGAAATAGAGGCTTTTTTGGCTTTTGGTATTTCTGGAAGCATGTTGAATTTGAGTACACTACAGTGCTCTTCAGCTGTGGCATTTGGAATAAGTCCTGTGTGCTCTTCAAGTCAAGAATTATGTCTTCTCTCATGGACTCCCTAATCAGCTCTTCTGTGAAAGAGTCATTATTCAAATCTTTTTCTTTAAGGAACTGCCAAGTCTGGCACTCATTCTTCCATTAAACTTTTAAATAAATATTAAGTATATAGTTACTTTTTTGGGCAGTGTACCAAAGTAATTACAGTGGACAATTAATTCATATTCGTTACTCCATCTTTGTGTGCCGTAGTTTGCAGTAGGAGAATATAAAGTCAGGATTCCAAAATGAGGAAATAACAGATTTAACTTTATCTAGCCAGCCTGAAGTCTGTGCTGTTATGAAAAGACATTGTCCTGCTGGTAGGAAGCTTTCTAAAAAAAGTAGGGATGTGGCTGACTGTGGGCATGAAGAAGGACGTGAGCAAACTCTGGCTCTGCTCAGGGTTATCCAGCTGCCATCCAGTTCCTTGTTGGATTCAGTAGAGTTGTGTTGGCATAGTAACACACTGCAGAGTGCCAGACAGACTAGTGTAGGCATGGAACTATATTAATAAATTACATTGTGGCTGGGCCTTAGAGTTTTGCCTTCAGCCACTTTGGTACAAAGGTAGTTGAGCTTTCCTCTGCCCACCCCTGTTCACACGGGGAAAACCTATGGATTTTGCTGGTTTTCCTCAAACAGACCCAGCTAAAGAAAATACTGGTTTTTCTCCCCCCACTGTCTTTAATTCAATAATTGCTTGTTATTTTTGATGCTTACTGTGCTTTTTAATTCATGCACATGGGCACAAGAAGCCCTGGAAGCTGAAAGCAGCACCTAGAATGAACTGAACATCTAGTAAAGTCACTGCTTTCCATGAGAGAAGCCAGCTTCTCCCTTCCTGCAGCTAATGGATTTTTCTCTTTGTAGGTTAATAGATGGGACTAATATCACAGTAGAGGATGACCATATGTGGCTCATTCCTTTCTCTTTTGGAGAAGATCATCTGCTCACAATCCATTTTGATAAAATTGAAAGTATCGCAGGGCTTCGCTTTTGGAACTATAATAAATCTCCAGAGGATACCTACAGAGGGGTAAGTAAAAGAAAAGGAGCACTGCCAGCAAAAATATACAGCAGTGCATTGGAAAATTGGTACTATGATGAATGAATATAGCTGCCTTAATGGAACACCATAAATCTCTCTAGATTGTCTGAGTCTGAATTTTGTGGCAGGTTTAATGCATTCCTGTCTCCACAAACAGCACACATTGAAAAAAAAGCCAGAGATACTTTAAAGAAATCTTCAAAGCTGATTTTTCTAAGAGACACATACAATACCACATATTATTTTCGAGATATATGATTCTCAAGAGGTATCCTCTCAATAGCTAATATTTAGACCTACCATACGATCCTGTGTTTCCTGGAATGCAGGGAATGATGTAAGAGGGAAACTTTTCCCATAGAAATTCTGTTTAGTTAAGTTTCAGAAGGCCATTCAATACTGCCTCTTCCAAGAAGCAAGAAGAGTCACTTGAACCCTTAACTGGGAAAGCTGATATCTTTAAACAGTTTGCTGAAATAGTTTAGCTAAAAATGTAAAACATACCTCCTCTTTTCTTTTTCCAAATTTGTTTGGTTTATATTTGTTTTTTTCATACTGAATTATTGGAATTGACTGGCAATTGGCACCTTTTGGAGATAATTTTACACCTTGTTGGCAATCTGAGTTTGGCTGTCCCTCGTTTCTCTGCTGTATTTGCACTTGAAATGATAATGAAACAGTAGCTGCTGTTCACTGCACAGAAAGTTTATGGATCCATTTGTTTCCAGACCTCCCCTTTTGCACAGAACTGTTGCATTCTTGATGTCCAAATTCAATCAGTAGATAAGAAGAAAAACGTTGATTTGTAATAAACTGAGAGACAGGACAAAAAGGCTCAGCAGAGTTCTGGGAAAAAAATCTACAACTGAAATTGGAGGCCTGGAACATTCATAGGATTGGGCAAGATAGTGGCAAAGTTACACAACTGTGTCTTTGTGTAAATTTACCTTTCAGGAATTGCTTTAATGTGAGCACTGCCTGGCATCTTTTACTATCAGCACGGGGGCTCTTGGTGCTAAAGACTCCCAGAAGGCCAGAGCATAAGATCTTTCAATTCAAGCACAATTGATCTGGAGATTTCAACATATGGCACCTCATTTTGTGCCACGTTGCATTAACCCAGCATGTTTGACACATGGGAGGGTTCTGGAGCATTTTGAGCTTCCCATCTCAATATACCCCCTGTATAAATTAGGGGTTTTGGTGACATTTGTGTCCTGATTTCAGCTGGGATAGAGTTAGTTTTCTTCCTGGGTTTGGGGTGAGAATAATGTTGAGAACACATTGATGTTGTTGCTGAGCAGTGCTTACTAAATCTCTAAAATCTAACGTGGAATTTGGAGGCCAAACCAAGAAGAAAAAGGAAGAAAGGTATATTTTCAGCAGTTTGCTTGGCTAGGTAAGAAGAAGAAGTGAGTGTGATACAGGTGCCCACCTGCAAGCCTACTGAAAGTCCCATAACAGTTAGTGGGTACAATTAAAAGGAGTACAATCTAAAGTGGGTACAGTTTAAAAGGATAAAATAAATGCAGTGCTGTAAAAGGATAAAATAAATGATTTGGAAAACTGAAAATGCAAGATATTGGCTGGGTCACAGTAAAGAGGCTTTAGGCTGTAAACCTGGGGGCATCATGACATCTGTCTCTTGAAGTATTGCTGTTCCTTCTAAGAAAGAGTCCCTGGGCATGAGATATGATGATATTCTAGGCAGCTGCAGGCTGCTGGATTCTATTCACAGCTTTAGTGTGAGAGGGTAATGGCAGGGAACTGTCAGAATGAAGACTTGGGTGCTATTTCCAGCTCTGTGAAAAATCACCTTGTGAAAGCTTTGTTATGCCATTTGTAAAATGCAATATGTGACGGCCAAGTGCCTCCTCAGATGATGAGAATTACTTAGGAATGAGAGCTGGAAAGGGCACATAAATATGAGCAGCTGTGGTATAATAGGTAAGATTTCATCTCTGAGGCTCCAGACTTCCCATTCACGACGTGTGTCCGTTTGGGAAAGTGTATTTCAGTGGGTTTTTCACTTCCCCTCCTTATCCTGACAGACTTATTCAGCTCGAAAGTAGCACGCAGAGTTTCTGATATGAAAAGGATATTCCCTTTCTTTGCTCCCAAGTGTATTAAAGATGAGAGCAGAAATACTTATTTCTCCATACTTTGTAGTCACACAAACATTCCTTCCTAATTAATCTTCAGGCTGTTTGGAAATGAACTGAGCACCTCCTCTAGTGTAGTAAAATACCCGAGGTTTTCAAACCAAGAAAAAAAAAAAATCTTCCTGAAGATTAGTTTCTTTTGGGATGTTGCATGTAATTATAATTGGATAAAACATCCTTTACAAATGGAAAAGAGGTGAGAACTGTTATGAATATCAGGTCACTGATAATATACAGGACTAGCAGAATGCTCAGAATATGTTAAAATTCTTAGATAGACACCTGAAATGTGAATTTTAACTATAAATATTGCATATATATTTTTAATAGATCCTAATAATGAAAATATTTGCATACAAGCCTAAGTTAACCTCAAATTATCTTTTATATATTGGGCAGCATGAAATCTAAAGATAAGAAAACTTACCTTTAGACTAAATTAAGTTTTTTGCTAAATAAATGAATCTGTTTTGGTGCAGTCCATTAATCAGCAGGCTTGAATTGTAGTGCCAGTTATAAGGGCACATTGTTACATTTTACAGGTGTTATTCCTTCCACACTGGTACTTAATGAAAGACTCAGGGCAATAAATACTGCTTATGATTAAGTTAAATTTAACATATTTCAGGGCAAGATGCAGTGATTAATTGTTGCTGCATGATCGAATTGTTCTGTGACTGGGATCGTGGACACAACACCAGATGGTGCTGATGGGGGAGGGTGAAGGGGCCAGGGCTCCTGCATCATTTGAATAAATATGACTGAATTATTCAGTTTAATCTTCAGAGCTTGTATAAGACGTGTTTGCATCTATGATGTGGACACAGCTCAATTCTTTCTGTCTGGTGCAGGTACCTTTTCTTTATTCATATGCCCTTAGGTTACACAAAGCACTGCTTGGCAGATGAGTTTGCATGATCCTGGAAAAGTCCAAGTGCCACCTGCCACAAAGATGAATAGCCCTGGTGAAAGACAGGTTTCTGTAAATGCAACAGAGCCACAAAAGGCTGCTCTGGAGAGGGCACCACACTCTGGGATTTCTGGAAGGGTGGCTCCAGCCAGGGCTGAGCAATCAGGCCTAACCCAGCAGTGCATTCAGGTGCATGATGAGTCTACTGTCTCCTAAAATCACCTTTGTGACATGTGCTGGCTGAAAAGCCGAGTTTTTCCATTCTGATCACGTGTGTAAATGTTGCTGCAGGCTCAGGAATCAGAATTGTTTAGGTTGGAAAAGATTGAGGTCATAGAGTCCACCTGTAAATCCAGCACTGCCAAGGCCACCACTAAACCATGTCCCCAAGTGCTTCATCTACACATCTTTTAAATCCTACCAGGGACTGGGACTCCCTCACTTCCCTTGGTGGCCTGTTCCAGTCTGTGAAGGGAAGCTTCAGTTTGCTGAGATCTAGTGAGATGCATTAATTGAAGGATCTGTAAATACATTTTCTTTTATATTTTCCCCCCCAAATCCTCACCTCTCCCATCCCCATCAACGTCAGTGATGACACTGAACTGCACACTGAGGGTTGCAACTGGTATCTGCAGGCTTAAACTTTCTTTTGCCAAAGGATGTCACACTACACAGGAATGAAATAAAACCAGCAAAATAACTGAAATTGTTTCAGCCTCTGAAGTGAATGCAGTTGTTTGCAATCTATTTTAATTTGTGTCATGTCATGTAAACTCATGTTCTGTTGTTTTAAACAAGGCCAAGGTGGTCCACGTGTTGCTGGATGGGCACAGCATCTCCCCGCCGGAGGGGTTCCTCATCCGCAAGGGACCAGGAAATTGCCACTTTGACTTTGCCCAAGAGATTCTCTTTCTTGACTGTCTGCAGCCCCAGCCAACTAATAAAGTGCACAGAAGGTAAAGTGGGATGTTTCTGTTGTCTGAACCACATGATTTCTCTTCACTGTTTTCCTATTCTTCCTATTCTTCCCTATTCTCTCAATTGTAGTCTCTCAATTGTACGAGACACCTGGATGAAAATATGGAGCACTTAGAGCAGAGTGTTTAATTGGGTCTTAATTATAAACTGTTACCCAGATTTTATTGAGATCAGAGGACAGTCTAGTCCATAATTGCAGGTGGAGGGGCCAGGGAGGCTGTTTGTAGAGGCTTAGTCCTTTGGGTTTGTTCTCTTCTTTTCTGAATGAGCCAGTGGTACATAAAAAACCTGTTTTGTCTTGGTTTTTTTGGCAGGACTGGATCAAAGAGAATGGAACAAGCCAGCATGGACTATGAAGCACCCTTAATGCCATGTGGTTGTATCCTCCTCTGTCATTTTCTTACTTGTCATAGAGAATGTTTTAAGAGTTATATGCTGTGGTTATGAGTCCTGAGCTTTTTGAATCCAACAATTTCTAATGCTTTAAGAAGTTAACAGGATACCAAGAACATGAGAAAGTATGACTTAGGAATAAATAAATGGAACATAATAGATGAATGTGTGGCCTGTTTTCAGATACTCTGATAGCTTTTTCTCCTGAACTGCAAATAAGAGTGTTGGACATGGAGGTGTGGGCTGCACAATACTTTTTCAAACTGCAAATTAAATAGTCTGTTAGGACACAGTAACAGTACTGAAATTTTTCCTTAACAGCATTTTGCTTTTTAGTTGTTTTCCAGTTTCAGCTCCTGACAAGCTGGGGTGATCCATACTACATTGGTTTGAATGGACTGGAGTTGTTCAATGAACATGGAGACCAAATCTTACTAACTGAGAACAGTATCCTTTTCACACCAAGCACTTCTGTCCCTGTGGACACACAGTTTGCTCCCTTCAGATTTTCGTATGGCATCACTTGCTACTTCTTCCATTTCCAGTTTATCCTGTGTGATTAACTCTGCTTCTGTTTCTCTCTTTTTGTGTGATGAATATTGCTTCTGTATGTTTTTATGTATTCTATATAGTTTCAGAAAAGTATGTACTTGGGATGCACCAGTAAAGCAGGATAAGGTTAGAGAAGGGAAGGCTTAAGAAGGACATGGTATTTTTTGCTGTTGACATTTATTTCTTCTGAGGAATGGAAGGACCAGAAAGTTTGCTGAGCTGTAAATTCACAAGAAAAGGTTGAACTCGGTGCCTTTTTTTTGTGGAAGCTTTCACTGGGCCTCAGGAAAGGAATTTTTCATAGCTCTTGTTCTGGAGATTTAGGCTGTTCCAGAAACTTGATCCAGTCATGGAGATCAGGGCTGAGGGTTTGAATTTGATTCAGTGTTCCCTGGATAACCAACAGAGGGAATGAAGGGCATGTTTGTGAGATTGGCAGTCATCAAGGTGACACTTCCATGCTCTGTCCCAGCATACAGTTCAGATACAATACCCAACATACAATTCACATGGTTCACTTACATGGCAGAAACACTTCTTAGCCAACTAGAAAGAATAAATAGCACAAATGCTGCATGAATTGTATGTCTCTAAGGATCCTCATTGCCTAAGAAATAGGAGATACAGTGAAAAGGCAATAAAGGCTTTTTCCCAGTTTTTGTTTGTATCTTGTGTGATAGTGATGGACTTGAAACATTTGTAATGGACAAGAGGCATTTTGAAATTGAAAAGTAACAAATTGGTTTTAAGAGCAAGGGATCTTTAACTTAGCTGGGATGGCTTTACAGTGCAAACCAGTGCCAGGTAAAGAACCCTCAGCTCCTTTTGAATGATCTCCTGCTCCTGCCTGTACAGTGGGGTTGATGGGATGTGTTGGGATCCTAAAAAAGCATATTTGTCTTAGTGCAGTACTTAATGTGATAATTCACTCCTGAGTCTGGAGCTTTTCTTAAACACTTGAGGCATTGCTGTGTTATTCCTGAAATTCTTTATAAATACTTAGAGACTCAGGCCTTTTAGAAAGCAGGATAAAAGGGAAATTAATATCCCTGAAACTGGATTGCTCAGGATTTATAATGCTGAAGACAGTGCCATCCATCCACATTTCTTTGTCTTTAACATACATGTCTTTAACATACATATGTTTTTAACATAAATATTCTCTTACAGAGAAAATCTGGTTGCCTGTTCAGTGGGAGGTTTAATCTTTCCCTCTCAAGGAGCTGATAAAAGGTCTTATTAGACAGTTAGTGATTTTTACCACAAACCTTGAGAAACCCAAGCAAACCCTAGTCTGATGGCTACCTCCTGCAAGGATACTTACCTTGAGATAGGTTTGATATGAGGAGTTTTCACAAGCTTATCATAAAAGATGGGGCTTTGTCACCAAGGAACTGAGATGTGCCTGTTCCTGATGACAGAACTTTATTGATGAAGTCATAAATACATATTTGAAAATAAACTAAATAGTAAGTTTATTGCTATTTTAAAAATAAATTGGAGTGCCAGAGTCTTTAAGGGTTGTCCTGCTTTTAAAAATGTGCCCCCACACTACTTACGTGAAGCACTTGGAGCACTGTTGTCACGGTGAATACTCGTCCATGGAGTTGGGGACAGCAAGCATGAACCTTTAAATGTGCTGTTTCTGAAATGTTGCTTTCAGTTATTTCACACTTAAAGCTTTTCTCAGACATTGCTGCTTTTCCAGACAGTGTCAACATTTTGGAAGATGTGTCTGGAGACATCCGAACTCCAGACAAACTCATTGACAGAGTCAATGACACGACTGATGGCAGACACATGTGGCTGGCACCAGTTCTGCCTGGCTTGGTACATTTTTCCCTTTCCATTCTGTTTTAGTGGTGTGTGTGGATGTAGCTGGAAGCATAGAGGGAAGGGGAAACATGCATAATTTATAGGTAAACTTGATATTAGTACCTGATATTAAATCACTGCTTTTTAGAAGAAGTGCTTTTTATTCCAGCTTCTCTCCACTGCTCAGGCAGCAGCAATAGAGGTTTCCCAGGTTTGTAATTCCTGTCTCCATGGTGCAACAGCAGAATTTCCAAGGCTGGTAGATGGTTTTTGAGTTATTGTGATAAAGATAATGACAGAGGAGCTTAATGTGTGTATTTTGTGCAATAAACACCTTTCAAACTGGAGTGAACCGGGATCTTAAATTCATTTTTACAAAATGCAGTGAATGTTGTTCCAGCAGTAAGAATTATATTTAATCTCATTTCCTGTGTTGAATTCAAATCCATAGATTATGGATGGCAGACTTAAGTATTTCATGTCCTAAGGCCACAAGTGATTCAGCCCTTTTAGTAGTCCCATGTTTAGATATGGAACATCAAATATCTAAACAGGAAAAGCAGATGAATTTCGATAAGTTCTGACCTTGTTTTGGGAGAGGACATTTTTTATGGGCCTGTTATGGACATCATTAAGCTGTGTTTATTTCTTAGGAGAGGATGGATTTGAAAAGAGAACAAAATGTAAACCTGGCGTGATACGTTATAACTGTGTTGGGAAAATCCTTACTCTGTTATTAACTGGAATTTTAAAAGCACGGAATTAAGCCAGTTTTTATCATTATATGTTGTAATGCAGTGGGTGTAATAAGATAAAGTTTTTAAGTATACTTGGGAATAGTGACCACTTGCATTTCTTAGGAAAGTGGAAGGTCTGTGTAATGCTTGAGGGTCGTACTGTGTAGATCCCACATTCTGAATCCTGGTAATTTGATGGAATGCTCAGATATCCATCATAACGTGACAAATGATTGATTTGACAGCCAGCTGAGTTTGCTCCTGTCCTTACAAAAGCCACGCTTGCAGAGGCTGTTTCACTGGGGCAGAAAGGGAAATAACAGTCCCTGGAGTTCTGGCAGAGGTGCCCACGCTGCTTTGTGTTGCTCTGTCTGACACCAAAGTACTGCAGAAGAACATAAAATACCAGTATTAAAGGGTAAATTGATAATGTGTGAAATGCAGGAGGCAGAAGCAGTTTAATGGCACTTTCTGTCCTTGAACTGTAGCAAATTACACCTTTTTAAGACCCACAGAGTACTTTTCTCTCCTCCATCTTCCCTGGGATGGTTGTTCAGCCAGGAAGTACAACTGGATTAAGCAATCAGGGTGTTGATGCTCAGCCTCTGTAGCTGCTCCAAAACACTCAGGCTGCCTGGAAAGCTGCATTAACTCTTTGCTATATAGGAAGGCTCAAAAGCTTGAAGGAAATTTATGTTATAGCTTTTCTTTTCTAAATGTCTTTTTCTTTCTGATTCTGTAAGTGTTTTTACCTTTTGCAAGTTTGTTACTAATTAAGTAGAATTTGAATGCTTTGTTCCCCTGTTACTGATTGTCATTTTATTTATTTGTTTGAATGGATTTTTTAATCAAATTTATTATTTGCTGTGGGACTAACAATTGCTAGTGGGAGACAGCCCCAGTTGTGTTGTGGAAAATCATAGATACAAACATTCCTATTGATCCCATTTACCTTTCTTTCTTCAGTTAAAAAAAAAAAAGCATAATGATTTAATATATGTTATGATATCTCCTCTAATACATCAAAGGATTAAAACTTCAGAGGATGCTAAAGATGAAGCTTAAGATATGTTGATCCAAAGTTGATATAGTGGCTCATAAAAGGAATAGCATAGAATTAACTGTAACAGGCAAGATTGGTTTCCTACAGGCTAATCTTTGGCTTTAGCATCTTGGCATGAGTGTCACTGAAAGTAAAGTGAATAATACATCAAGCAATAATTGTTTAGGAAGCATCTGGAGAATTATCTCTACATTCCACTTAGTGTAACTCACACAAAAATTGCAAAATTTCTGGGAGAGCTTTCAAAGTCAGGGGATACGGGAGAAATTTTAGTCTTGCAAATAGAAAGGTGGATTCCATTCATATTTGGTAGAAAGAAATGGAATAGGGTAGAATAGAATTGTAGAATGGGTTGGAAGGGACTTTCAAGCCCATCTCAACCAACCCATGAGCAGGGACATTTTCCACTATCCCAGGTTGCTCCAAGCCCCATCCAACCTGGCCTTGGACACTTCCAGGGATGGGGCAGCCACAGCTTCTCTGGG